TATTTAGTTTCTTTCGTAGCATACTAACTTTATTAGATGTTCTCTTTTCTTGTTAGAAACTGTCGTCGTATCATTTGTTATGTGTATCAAGTTTTGTAACGTGGGACTCTATAGTTTACTTGGTTTCCTTTTTCTCATATTTTTTTTTTCTGTTACGCGGAGTGACCAACCATAAAGAGAAAACTAATAGGATCCATGTTGCTTTCAAAAATTTTTATATCATCCTTTAACTAACTTACATATTCGGGAAAAAGACCAAACAAAATTATTTTCAAATTTATTCACCCTAACTCGTTTCTTGTTACTTGCTCGATAGATAAACACATGCAATGGGTTTTATTGTGAGAACTTCAAACCAAACTCGGACAATAAGCCAAAGATGTGGACAGAGAACTGGACTGGTTGGTAAGTCACACAACATTATTGTCCTCCCCTCTCACAAACTATTACTATTCAATACATATATCTACGTATCTTTACCTTTTTTTTAAAATAACTTTCTGTGTGTGAATCTGCCAATGATTTACCAGGTTCACGGAGTTTGGAGGTGCGGTACCGTACAGACCAGCAGAGGACATTGCCTTATCCGTGGCCCGATTCATACAGAATGGTGGCTCTTTCATGAATTACTATATGGTAACTTCATATTCTCTATTGTTGAAACAACAGATACAATATTTGATTACTAATAGTATCGAGAAATGTTGTTAAACAGTACCATGGAGGAACGAACTTTGATAGAACAGCTGGTGAATTCGTCGCCACCAGCTATGACTATGATGCTCCTCTTGATGAATACGGTAATTTAACTCTCATCACCTGAAAAACAGAATAGTAACAAACATATCAAACCATTGTCTAATACCTTTTTTGGTTTGTTTGTTCAAAAGGTTTACCGAGAGAACCTAAGTATAGTCACTTGAAAAAGCTGCATAAGGTCATCAAGCTCTGTGAACCAGCACTGGTCTCTGCTGATCCTACAGTCACATCGCTTGGGGATAAACAAGAGGTTATACAAATTCAATAAGCATGATAAGAGATGAAAAACTTTCAAAAAAGTTATTAATCTTCTTTGCTTGTTTTGTTTTTCAGGCTCATGTGTTCAAGTCTAAGTCATCTTGTGCTGCTTTTCTCTCAAACTACAACGCTAGCTCTGCTGCAAGAGTCTCGTTTGGCGGATCTACATATGATCTGCCTCCTTGGTCTGTCAGTATTCTACCTGACTGCAAAACTGAGTATTACAACACTGCTAAGGTAAATCAACCTAAAAACTTACCAAACACTTTACCTTGTTGATATGTTAGGGGTGATGGTATCACTGAGATTGACCTCTGTGTTACAAGGTACAGGTCCGTGCACCACGCATACACATGAAAATGAGTCCCACAAACACACAGTTCTCTTGGGAATCATACAACGAGGAAATTCCTTCTGCATATGACAATGGTAACTTTTCCCATGATGGGCTTGTGGAACAGATAAGCATCACCAGAGACAAGACTGACTATTTCTGGTATATGACAGAGTGAGTAATTCTTGGAAACTCTTGACTTGCTGAAATCTTCCTATCTATCTCACATTCTCGCTGATTCTATGGGAGAAAAACTCACCAGTTGTTTTTGTTTGCGGATATAATCAGCATAACAATCAGTCCTGATGAGACATTCCTAAAGACTGGAGAAGACCCTCTTCTTACTATTGGGTCAGCTGGGCATGCCCTTCATGTATACGTTAATGGTCAGCTTGCAGGTAATTAAGATAGGCCAAACTCATCCTCATGGTAGCTTGTATTTTGTCTTCTGTTAAAAATCCTTTTTTCGTTTCAGGAACTGCTTATGGATCACTGGAGCAACCTAAGCTAACATTTAGTCAGAATATCAAATTACATGCAGGAGTCAACAAACTTGCTCTGTTGAGTACTGCTGCGGGTCTGCCGGTTAGTTCTCTCAATAAACTATTTTCTCTGCGCTCTTTGCCCATATACTGACTAAATTCTGAACTTCGTGGTCCTTTTTGCTCACAGAATGTTGGCCTGCATTATGAGACTTGGAATACTGGAGTTCTTGGTCCAGTGACACTGAAGGGAGTTAACTCTGGAACATGGGACATGTCTAAATGGAAATGGTCTTACAAGGTCCTCCTGAAAATCCAGAGAAACGAGTTTGACTTCCCTGTTACCCCCATCTTACCAACCATCATAACAGTGAAATAAAATTTTGTGTTCTTTTGTGTTTCAAGCAGATTGGTACAAAGGGTGAAGCTCTGAGCATTCATACCGTAACCGGGAGCTCCACCGTGGAATGGAAAGCAGGACCATTGGTGGTCGAAAAGCAACCCTTGACCTGGTACAAGGTAAGAGAAACAGAAGGATTGATGAATCATGCCACCAACCTGTTATATTAATATGATGAGAAAATAAAAGCGATGGGATTCTTACCATATCTTTTTGCAGTCTACTTTTGACACACCAGTAGGCAATGAACCATTGGCCTTAGACATGAACTCAATGGGAAAAGGTCAGATTTGGATAAATGGACAGAACATCGGACGCCACTGGCCTGCATATACAGCTCGTGGGAAATGCGAGCGGTGCAGCTATGCCGGGACTTTCACCGAGAAGAAATGTTTGAGTAACTGTGGAGAAGCTTCTCAAAGATGGTAAGCAAAAATGCCTAACCTCTGCTCCTGTCTTCTTGTTCTTCTTCTTTAGTCCAAATTTGATTCAAAGGTTTGAACTTTTCTTGTTTCCAGGTACCATGTGCCTCGTTCATGGCTGAAGCCGACTAATAACATTGTCATTGTACTTGAAGAATGGGGTGGTGAACCCAATGGGATCTCTCTTGTAAGAAGAGGAGCCAAATAATAGCTTTTCTGACTATTTTTTTCAGGATAAAAGCTGCTTCTTTGTATCTCTGCTTTGAAAATAAGGATCTCTGCAAGTCAATTTTTAGAACACAGATTAAATGTACATATATTATTAGTGGGAAATATTGGCTCATATGGATGAAAAATTGAAAACTATCCCTAATCCTGTCTATTAATATATTGCAAGTGTATAATGTATATTTACAGAATAAAACATTAAAGCTTTTGAATTTCATTTTCTTCTCTATCTTCACCTCTGTTTTGTTAATGCTTTAACAATGTAATACCTAAAGTACACTACAGAGTACAGACTACAATAGTTGATTGAAGATCATAAGACTTGGTGACAAATTGGTCTCCATCAGATATCCAATACTCAAATCGGAAAGCTATTAGAAACTTTGCAAAATTACGCAAATGCGAATAACACTGACCTTTTGAAGTGCCTTGAAGCAGATTTAGACCAGAAGCTTAACTCAAGAATCGACGCCGATGTCCAGACTCCAGAGTCAGAGAAGAGTACGGTTAAGCTCCGTTGATCGCATTCTTTACTATCGAAATTTGTTGGGCCTTTGGGCCTCTCACAATGAAGCCCATATAAAGAGAAAGCTATCCTTTTACGTGAGAGTCATTGGACTTTTCAATAAAACACGAGTTTAATTGCGTGTGAATGCTGCTAGTTTCGGTTTCTGAAATTTGTGAAAGCTTTTTTTGTTTAATGGTTTATAAGCTTTTGTTGAATGTATGATTGAAAAGTCTGTGAATCTTGTCAGCGATTGTAAAGCCTTTGGTTACTAACGTCTCAGTGATAGCAATAAATGATTATTGGTCGTTTTAGAAAAATACTGTATCAGTGAAACTGAACATTCAATGTTCTTGGTCGCTTTGGTCTTTGGACATGTTCATAAGATCAGCGACTTTGTCGTTACTCATATCTTCAAATCATTACTATAATATGACTCAAACGTCGACTTGGGTGTGATATGTGTATTATATACTAAAGTTGAGTAGTTGACTAAAACGACTCAAAAGGAGTTGTGATATTATATAATGGTTCGACCACCCGGGACAAGTGATATATAATGCTTCTTCAAGTTGCATGGTAGTGTTGTTTGCCATGTCGTTTCTTTAATCCTAACTTGACTTTCTAGAAAGACTAAAAGAGCTTGAAGATCCTCTCTTCCACTTGCTGCATCGATATCATGTAGAAGACAAACACACACGATTCTCTGTTTCTTTCTTCTTCTTCTTTTTTCCTTCACTTTCCTTTTTTTTGTATGTTTTTTCCTCTTTTGTATGTATATTTTTCCCCCATCTTTTTATTAATACAGACATAATTAAAAGAAAATGCTACGTTAAGTAAGTAAGTGAAAATGACAATGACTTAGCCAAAATTTTATAATCTGTTAAATATGCATAACGTAACGATTTGTTCAAGGATCAAAATATGAGCATAAAAGTTGGTGTGAAACAATGATGGATCTAACAAATATTCATGGCAATGAAGATATAAAATATGGGTTAATACTTTTTAAGATGTGTTCATGTGTTATTTTGTATTTTTGACTGATGTCATTTATAATAATACGTCACTGTAATTATTAGTTATATAAAGTTTGTCCACTGTATTTTTGTTTTAATTTACAAAAGCACGTATATAAAGTTGAGAATCTCTTAAAAACAAAAATTAAAAGTATAAAGACAACAAATAAAAGATCAAGTAATGAGAAAGGGTAATGTAAAGGATTATTTATGTAAAAGCAATTATTTTATAAATGTATAGGAAAGAAGAAAAGAAACTACAATATATAGATATATATAGTAAACTAGAACAAAAATAATGAATATTAACAAAAACTTGTGATATTAGAGAAAAACAAGATTGCCAAAAGAAAATTGTGGGATCGGAGACGAGTAATATGATGAGCCGATGAAACAACTGAGTCACGAGGTTAGTAAAATACATACTTTTTTTTTGGTCTTTTATATTATGGGATCAATGTAAGAGTTTTGTCGCAAAACCACAATAATATGCGATGTGAATAATACGACGTTAAGTTGGACCTTGGAACATCTTGAATTCGTGATCTGTACAAAATTGTATTATTTCCCAAGTATTGAACTCGATGCCATATTATTTCTTACAAAAAGACTACTAATCACATGACCAGAACATATACATACTGTTAAACATCTGACTTTATTACAAAAACAATCAATATAAAAAAGACAAACTAATATAAAATAAAAAACAATAAAAGAAAGACCCAAACCAAACATACAAATCTAACGCAAAGCTCGTTAATGATTAAACAAGACCAAAATATCTCTAATATAAATATTATCCATTAGTTCACCACTCCTTCACTCTGCGACACACAACACAAGCAACGACGATGGAGCTAGTTACAAACATGACCAGCTGGTTAACTCCGACCACTCTCTTCCTCCTCCTCAATTTCACTATCGGCACCATCTTCATCGCCAATCGTTTCAGTTCCGGTTCAAGAAAACACAACCCGCACCAAGAAGCTTCCGGGACGGGTCATCATGACCAAACTCCGGCACGGTTCGGTAGACCTCCTTCGTTCATAGACAGAGTGAAGTCCATCAACTTCAATCTCTACAATTCTCCTCCACCAGAATCCGAGATCCACTTCTCCGGGTCGGATCATAACCCGAATCCACCTCCTTCTATCCTGCAACGGGTCAAATCCATCAAAATGCCTTCCTTCAAGTTCCCACAACACAATTCCGAAGGAGACTACGCTGCTTACGAGCTCATGACCCGAACCGAAGATCTTGACCGGGTCGACGACAAGATCCCGGAGAATGACGTCACGACCGAACCTAGACTCGGAGCTCCATCACTCTTGCAGCGGGTAAAATCCATAAAGCTTCCTTCTTTATACAGATCCGAGCCAGATCCGACCCCGGAAGAGCCAAAGCCCACGAGGACGAAGTCGGAGTCGAGTAAACCGGTGACGAAGAAGAAGAAGAAAGCTACGGCGAAGAAGATGACGAAATCGGCTAGCGAGAGATACACCGGACGGGAAGAAGAGACGGTTGAGGCCGTTGAGAAGAGAAGACCGGAGACAATGAGAGCTGAGAGAACGACGCCGATCGTCGAGGGAGGAGAAGAAGAAGGCGTCGACGACAAAGCTTCAAACTTCATCAACAAGTTTAAGCAGCAGCTTAAGCTACAGAGGCTGGATTCGTTTCTAAGGTACAGAGAGATGCTCAAGAACGAGTGAAGCTCAAAATGACGTTTTTGTCCTTGGTCGGAATCTTGAGTTTCCATGGTTTTAGAACTTGGTGGTAAATACGCATGAATCTGAAGGGCTTTTAGGTCATATCGATACACATCGTCTAGTTTTTGTTCCTTATTAGATTTGGTGATGACTGGGATACATGACAAAAACTAGTTTGTGTCGTGTGCGTAATTGCTGGATCTGGACATCTGAGTTCCCACTGAGCATTTGTCGTTTTTTACTCGATGGTAAAAGTAGTTCCACGCTGTTCCTTTTATTTTTACGTTGGAAAATTATTCTAATAATATTATTATTTCTTTTTATGCATCGACTGTTGCGACAGAAGAAGAACATTCATCGATACTTTAATTCCCTCTGAGTATTTAATATTTACTTATATTAGTGTTCTTTAATATACTAAATTGTTTCGTCAACTGGATTTAGATATCTGTCGGCTGTTGCTTTTTTTTAGGGTACGGAGTTGTTATCAGTCTACTATATATTTATTGAACTACTAATGACGAAGACGGTTCTATAGTTCTAACTCTCGTGAAATTACTTGTTTGTTATATCACCATACATTGATGAAGCCTTTATTCATCTGACAAAATATATAGTGAAAGGATAATTACAAGAACTATGTTCTAGAATTTAGAATTATATATAATTGAGGTAATTATATATGAAAAAGGAAAAAAGCAGTGGATTTAAGGGAATTGAACTTGAAACATGTATTGGACTGCTTCACTCATGCTATTTTAAATACAATATTTATGTTTTTTGTGCGTTATATTTCTTACGTGATATCCAGTTCATCATATTGAAGTTTTAGACTTAAGTCTTGTTATTAAACACGTGGTTTTTTTTTCTTTCTGTAGGAAGTTATCTTTCTATGTGAATATCTAAGTCTAACTATCGCATTTTGGTCCTATAACTATAAGCATGTGATGTGATATATGGTTTTGCTGATTCTATATTATTTAATGCGTTAAATTGGTATGTCTACTATATGCAAAAGTGTCAACGAATATTATTTTACAGGTACATTATGTATAGTGAGATAATTTTCACTTGATTTTAACGCTAATTACCGTGGAGTACGAATCAAATCTTGTTTATATAAAATCATCAATGACAAAAAAAAAAAACTTCAAGTACATCATGAAGTTTGTTAGAAGCAAGAAACTAATGAAAAGGTATATTTGAGAATGACTACAAATGTCTAATCACGGTCGAAGATATTTTCATCTAGATATTTTCAAGAGTGTGGGCGAATATGAAATATCTCAAATTAGAAAGTGGTATACATTCTATCAATGCAATGACCAATATGTTTCAGTTGACATGCCTCCTTTTATCTTATTTTCTCACTAATTCTCTAGTAGATGAACATCGGTAATCCTGCATATTCAAATTACTAGTTTATAATTTATAAGCAACGCAATTATGTGTATTTTGTTGTATGAACACATATCAAATTTTCCGTTAAATTTATGTACCGATCTTTATAAACATACTATATATATGGGATGATGGATGTCTTTTTCTTCTATAATATATGGATGGGGACTTTTACGAAATTAAAAAGGTATCTTTCAAATTGGAGATCAAGCTATCTCTAATAATCTGAACGAGACCTCAACTCTTCTGTTTGTTTGATCTAAAAAAGAATAGAATTCCAAATATTCCGTGAAGGTCTGTAGTTCTAGAAGCTAAGGCTTATTTATGAGCTATGGTAAAATCATAGCTTCACGACAATATTGTATATCATTCATGACATTTTAATTTCAGTGTACATATGTGAAGTAGATAGGTGAGCAATCTAATATACACAAAATATGGTTCTTAAAGGCCGACACATTTAGATGGGGAAGATACTCCGGCACCGGTTCCCTACCAATGTTTTTTGTGTGTTGAAACTTCTTCATTATTCCAAATGTGAAAGGAGAAAAAAAAAAAAAAATGTGAAAGGAGTACTGTTAAACCCTAATACAGTGTCAAAGAGAAAAATGACAAGTGGCCATTGCAAGTCGCTGTCTCTAAGATTCAAATTCAGTAGTACTTGATGCTCCTTGCATTCGGCTGTCGGTAGTTGCAGCCCTATAACGTAAACTAAAGGGCTTTGTCACTTATCCAGAGTCTTGAAGACTGATCCACACCAGTTCACGTGATGTGAAAGAGAATTTAAAAGTCACGTGTGTCTCGCATGGGTTGAGAGTCTCTTCCTGAGCTAGAGTGTCTTTTCTGTATTCGACAAGGCACCCATCGTATCATGATTTGTCTTATTAGATTTTGTGGTGGAACAGAGGACTGGTGGCTGTTCTCAATCAGTGACCAATCTCGAAAATAATTACAGAAGTTTCAGATACATTCTGCTATTTTACATTTTTAAACATATAAGAAACCTTTGTTATCATGAGTGAGATGTAAAAAAAAAAAAAAAAAAAAAAAATGAGTGAGATGTAAGTATTAGGATGAGATGTAAGTAAAGACGTAAAGTATTAGGTTGAGGTGTAAGTACTACAATTTCAAGCTCAAAATTTATGAATAAAAATCGTTAGTGGTTAGGATGAGATGTAAGCGTTACACTAAAACAATCTCTTGAGTGAATCCAAAGAACAAGTGCGTTTCTGCATCTGAACATCGATAAATAGAGGAAACGAAATGAACAAGCTGATCAAACCATATATCATTGGTTACAGTATTACAAGATGCAAAGTAAAGAACAAAGCTATACCACAGAGGATGAGAGAGAGATATAGTAAAAAAAAAACAGACATATGTACGTGTGGTACAACAACAAAAATCTCATCCCGTTTCAAAACATACGAGACATCATTTTTAGTTGGGGAAGTGAAAATGGGACATGCTTTTTCATTCCCGAATCCCTGTGTTCCGGCAAGTTCGTTTCACAAAATCTCGTCTGTCCACCCTTAGGCGTCTGTGAGAGAGTTTACTATTAGACCTCATCGCAGTGGCAGTGGTTGGTTTCGATGTGGAAGACTTTCCAAGTTCCTCCTTATCCTCACTAAAGGTCTTCATCAAAGTCTCTTGTAGTTCAATGTACCTTTGCTTCTTCTGTTGCCGTTTCTCAGGAGTGTCTTCTTCTACGCTAGCTAGATAGTTCAAGTCATCCGTATCCATAAAGTGATCGAGTGAACAGCGTGGGAAGTAGCGACTTCCCAGTTCCACTGATAATTCAAATTCAAGAAATGATAAAAACATCATTGTATATCTTTGTTCGCAAGAAAAGAGAATATGAGACATGTACAAGAACCAATCCATACCGGTGTCACAAAGCGCTTTTAGTCTAGCCAAATGCTTCTCTTGGATTAGGAACGGTGCCATGTTTAGGTCCAGTGATGTCCGCTTTGGATCATGCTCGAGACTAGAAGCTGTAAACTCGCATGTTTCGTCCAATTTGACGATATCCATTACAACTTGAGCTTCCACTGGAAAGAGAATTCGAGCCAATGCAACTGAAAAGCACATAGCATAGTCCAGCATTAGTTTCACTCACTTTCCTAACCGGAACTCGATTTCAAGTGAAAAATAAAAAAGTACCTCGATTCTCATAATAGAGCAACCTCATCTTCAGTTCCTCGGGAGTCACTGGAAGAGAAATTGATGCCTCTCTAGGAAACTGATATTCTAGTTTTTGTGCATGGTGAAGTACCTCTATGCATAATCCACCTTTCAGAGAAGGTTTGCCTTGCTCTGTATTAGTATTGTAGTCATCCGCTTTAATGAGTCGTTTTGCAATCACGAGAGCGGTTCTACCATCCAACGTCGTATCTAATGCATTTGCCCCTTTTGTCAACAGAGATACTATCAGCTTTGGCTCCTTCCGTATGGCAGCAGCATGGAGAACAGTGTACCCTCTTGGATTTCTATGGTTAACATCCGCAAGCTCTAGGTTGATGAGATCATAAGCGGTCTTCACATCGCAGTGAGCCACAGCAAAATGAAGAGCATACGCCTCATCGAGATTAGTGTGTCCCTCTGTCAAAAGCATCTTGACAAGCTCAACATCATCCGAGTCGAGTGCCTTGAATATATTCTTGACATGTTTTTTTAGCTCAGGTGGCTCTAAGCCAAGCTCTTTACGGATGTAAGTGATTTGCTTGAAAATGTGTTCCGGCAAAGACTTCTCAAGACTAACTAGTTCCATATCAGACTTGGCAATAATCTTTATGCATCTATCAAGAAGCTTCTTGTAAGCTTTACCACAAAGAGTATCCAGCTCGAATATGACCAAGATGTCTTCTAATACAATTTTGTCTACGATATCCAATAATTGCCTCTGAAATGCAAATAGAAGAAAGCTTCTTGATGCTGTGATTTTAATTTAAGAATTGATTGAATCACTCTTTAACAATTATGGAGGAAGAACACTGCAAATGAGAGAGTTTAGAGGATTGTGTTATACCTCATACAGATTCATTAGCTCCGGAATCTGGAAAACGAAAGCCAAATAGAGAACCTCGACCATGAAATCCACGGCCGGCCGGCAAGCCACGTGGCAACAGTCGGCGTCTACGCATTCAAAGGCTCCTCTCCGCGGCGGCCTCACTCTGCCGCTGTAGACGTACGCCAAAACAGCCATCACGGAGTCAAAGCCGACTTCGTAATCCCTGGCGATCTCCTTGAGCTCGATCTTCACTACGGCGGAGGACTTTTGGTTCTTGGCGGCAGCTGCGGTGGCTAGCGCGCTCTTGAAGACGGGAACTCTCGCCGAAAGAATACAACGGTGGAAAGAAACTTCCCGGCCGCCGGAGAGGACGAGCTTAGCGTCAGTGTAAAAAGTCTCCGGGGAGTCAAAAACAGACTCGAGACAGTTGGAGAGAAGCTGAAGCGCAGCAACCTCCGATGACGTGAGAAACTCCGTCGGATAATCAATAGATGACTCGGCGGCGAAGAAGCTGTTGCCGCTTGTGTTGCTTAATTCGTAGGAATCAGAGAATCTAACGGTGGCCATCATCGTCACAAAAAAACCAGAGATCGGCGGAAAAACACAAAAAAAAAAAGAAAGAAAAAAGAAAACAGAGTAGGGAACAACAGAGAAAAACAGAGCCGGAGACAACAACAGTTGGGATTTCAAGAAACAACGACTAAAAACAAAACACAAATATTTTTTAAAAATAACAAGAACTTATCATGAATGGCATGTGTCGAGACCACCTTGGTAGAAACCCGAAAGGTTTTTAAACATGGAAAAATACGAAACCCGAAAGGTTTTTAAACATGGAAAAATACTGTGAATGCAGGCAGGCTTCTTTCTTGGTTTTTTTTCTCCTCCTTGTGGCCTTGTGGGGGTCACCTTCTCTCTTTTACTTGTTTCCAAGTTACCGAACAGTGCAACGATTTTGTCTCTTTTTTTTTTTTTTTTTTTTTTAATTTAAAAACCACCAAAAAGTATCTTAAGTATTTAGCTTGTTATAGGTATGTGATAGGGATAGTGATAATCTCAAAATTTTAGAATGTAGATGTGCCGAACATCACATTCGTTTGTGTGCTTTCTAGCTTTTGGCAATTACTCTGCACTTTCATTCTTTTAGAAAGCAACTTCTCATTTCTTGACTTCCCAAAATTTCCACACATAATAATATAAAAGCAAATCGCATCGAATCGACAAAGTCAGAAAACTTATTCTTATTAGCATTCTACATTAATGGTACGATTAGTGTTTGATTAGGTGGAGGGATTAGTCAAACTTATTCATCATACTGACTTTGACAGATTTAGACTTTTCAGTTTTCACTCAATTTAATTGGTCAATAGTCCAATCATTCATTATTCTAGACTTGCTCAACCAAATGGTTAACATCGAAAATCAAAGCTAGTAAAACAAACGAATAATTTTCGTTCCCACTACTCCCCCAACCATATTGTTAGTCAATGTTTAGTCAGCTACATAAAAATAATTACCGTTTTGGTCTTATTTAGACGTAAATAGACAATAGATTATACGTCTAAATAGCAATCTCACATTAGCGAACAAAGATTAGTCAGCTACATAAAAACCAAAACAATCGTCAACGAAACGTTATCCTTTCATAAACTACTCCTATTAATTCGGACTCCGCACATCATACAGATAGCACTTAACTGTATGCTTCTGCAATTTCAACTCCATAATATATTAAAACATTATCAAGCATTTTGTCTCTTCCCAACAAATAAAGATCAAAATAATGAACTAGTCAAGGAAGAGACTAAAGAAGGGGATGATGATTCATTCTTCATAAATAAAAGGTATACTATTAAAAGTGATTCAAAGAAAATAAACACCAATAGAATATTGATCAAAACTCCTATGACATCAACAAGGAGATGAATTACAATTTAAACACCAAAACTTTTTCTCAATCCTCCAATTTTGTCACGCGTTCTTTTTTTCTTGTTTTTGGTTGGTAAGAGTGTAGAGATCACTGTTGCTTGCATTCGGGTGGCCTCTCACCTTGTTGACCCTCACCAACTATCTGAGATCTCCCTCCCTTCTGCAGTCCACGTGAAATGGGAAAGTCAGATGATTATTATATTGTATACAAACATAGACACAGCTACGATATGGATGAAATGAATAAAGTGAATCAAGAGCTTGTCTAGTCTCTGCTATGCCATCATCTCAGTCATGCATAACTACCTAATTAAAGATCCATGTTTTTTAGGGTTGCTTGGTTACTTTCAGCAACTATCCATATGATTCATGGGCCTCTAGAGTCCTATATCTATTCTAGGGTTTCATAACCATGCTCAGCCTGAAACTTCTTGTCTTTCTTGATATTCTACAACGTTCAAGGTTTCCTTGGGTGTTTGATTATTCCGCAGGAATTCCAGGGTTTCAGTCAAATAAACTTTTAGAAGTGAAAAATGGCGTTACATACCTTGTTTCCGATTGATGGCTGCATAAAACATTTAGGCGATTTCAAACGATTAGTAAAATCTAACCTGGCAGGACAAATTTAAAAACAAAGGAAAAAAGTAGGTGGGGCTCTTTATACCTTCTTTTTGGTCTTGCTTTCTTCCTCATCATCATCATCATCGTCGTCCTCATCTTCATCCTCATCCTCCTCTTCATCATCCTCATCCTCTTCTTCATCCTCATCAATGTCATCTTCTTCGTCATCATCTAATTCAAACTCATCTGCTTCCATAGCCTCACCAGTAAACCATGAGACAGCATGAGGGATAATTTTGTCCCGGATTGTAGATCTGCATAAAGCAAGAACTACTTGTTATCAGAATATTAACAAAGGGATCACACAATTTGCAGCTGATAAAGTAGATCCATGACTCAAAAGCAAACCCATAACCCAACAGAATAAGTATGTTCAGAAAAGGACAAACCCGATGTCGTAATCTTGTTCCATCAGATTTTGAAGGTCCTCAGCCTGCATCAAAGATGGTAGGCATTACTAAATACGTTAACTAAAAAGATGACAGATCTTTCTAGCAATCGTTATCTTACTCTCTCCTCGTCGATATCTTCATCTTCATCTGGGACTTGTGGAGGACTAAAGAAGTTGAAGAAGCTTGCGCAATCTTCAGTTTTGGTGATTGGTTTGGCATTCTTAGAACCTTTCTTAGGCTTCTTCTTAAGAATCTTCTGAGTTAGGCACTTTCCAGGATACCAATCAATTTCTGTCCTGAAATGAAGGTAAAAAATCACTTAGCAATATAGGTGAAGAAATCTGTCTACAGCACAATGCAGTCAGTCAGTCAGATAAGCAGAATGTACTTAAAATATACAATTATTGCAGGAGGGCATAAGCAGTTACCCCATAGCCTTTTCAAGTAGCGGCTCATCTTCATCAATCATATGATAAGCCTTTGTCAAAACAGTGTTTTTAAAATACGGATTGGAGTCAAAGAGAAACTCAAGTTTGAATCCTTTAGGTTCTTCAATCTTGCACCATTTAATATCTTTAAGATATTTGAGAGCCCCTTCATCACGCTCTGTGACCTAAAATGAAGGACATTAAGCTCTACTCATTTTCCATGGTTATGATTGGAGTGTTTATAATATGAACACCAAAACTGCATATAGGCTACCTCCTCAGAAGTAACATCATTATTTTTCAGGGCTGTCAACCAGAAATTTGGAATTCCTTTCTCTGTATGGAATACATTGAAACATGTTAAACAAAATTTGTCTTTCCAAAATGATAAAAAAACAAACAAAGAAGACAATTTATTCATGAAGTTACCTTCTGCAGTTTTTTCTTCTCCTTGGTCAACATCAGTAGTTCCATTCACAATCTCATAACGCTGTTTATTACAAGATGCCAAGTAGAATTCATGATTTTTAGATATACAGATATAACTAACGCTGCTGCAGATAAGAACACGAAAGTATAAACAGATTCCGATTTAATTTCAGTTTGTGAGTTAACAGACAAATTACCACGAGTTCACCAAAAAAAAAAAATCGAAACTTTCGCACAAAAGATTACCTTGATATACAAAGGCTGATACAACGTTTGATATTTTGCTTCAAGAATAGCTCTCTCCTCACGGAACTTTGCCTCTAGTTCGTCATGTTGGCTCTGCGTAGAATTAAGTCATCAGCAATCAAGATGCATAACACCTTACCAAAAAAAACTCCATCGAAGGTCACAAAAGCTAGGGAAAATGTGAAAGAAATTTCGCAAACCTGTATATCCCTCAAGGAATCGACACGCTTTCTCACAATAGGAGTCAGATTCTCGAGCACATCAGAACGCTGACCAGCCAGATTCTGCAGCTTGTTCTGTGAATTAACATATAAAAACAACTCTCAAAAAACAACCTTATTACAGAGCTCATGAACTATCATTAAATTAAAAAGTATTAGACACCAGACTAATGCACGCCTTATTATAGTGTCTAAATAGACACTCTGAGTAAAGTTAACTCAAAATCCTAAATCCTACATATCATTCACTAGCAAGCCTAAAGGACGGGTTTTTACTCTTTAGTAGAAGAACAAAAAAACTAACCTTAAGAGCGTTCACAAGGCCAGCTCTATCCTCTTCTTGAAGAGCTGAGGAAAAAAAAAAAAATCAAATGAAGAGTCAGAACCACCACGAAATTAGGGTTTAAGCAAAAGAAGCGCAGAAAGAGCAAGGGGGGAAATTAACCAGCAGTAAGATTGGCGACGCTGAAGTTGTCCTTGTCGTTGCTCATTTTTCTGAAGATTTTTGGAGACGAAAGGTTTTGATTTTTGAAAGAGAGAGAGAGAGAGATTTGAAGGAGAAACCAAGAGTTTTTTTGGGAGGCGACTCGACTCACTCTTCTTAACCCTTAAATCCTCTTTCTCTCTATCTTTTACTCTCCTCCCTCTCGCACCAAAATCATAAAACCTAGTAACTGCCATTTTTAATTTGGTTAGCGGTTTGGTACCGTTTAGTAACCGGAGCATAGAAACCAAACCGAACGAAACCAGAATGAATCATGTAGACTGTAGAGGTGAATAACTTTTTTTTTACATTACCCGCAAGTGCAAGAAATTAGGAAGGAGGAGAAAATAAAGAAAAGGGAAATAAAAAGACTCAAACTTTGAGAAAAACAAAACATCCTCATCGTTTTGTGTCCATCGAATCGAAAGCTCTTCTTTTTTATCTTCGTATTCAATTCATTCTTGAGAGAGAGAGAGAGAGACAAAGGAGCATTGGAGAAACACAACATTCCTTTCAAAAAAGAGTATTTTCACCAGATCGAGAGGAGGACGATGATGATGATTACTGGGTTTTGATTTCTATTCCAGGCCGAGAAAAAAAATCCGTGGACATCTCCTTTTTTTTTTTTGAATCAGTAATCTCATTGCTTGTGATCCTCTGGGTTGTTTCTGGATTGCTGATGTGTCTGATTCTTGTTCTGATGGCTCCTCTGCTTCGATCTTTTTGAATCTGTGTCTGGGTTGAGATTGTAATTAGGGTTTTTATTGATGGAATCTCGTGTGGGAAACAAGTTTCGGCTCGGCCGGAAGATTGGTAGTGGTTCGTTTGGGGAGATCTATCTCGGTTCGTTACTCTCTCAATTTTCTCTTTTTTTTTTTTTGTAATTCTCAAATTCATCACATTGGTGGTGCTCTTCTCTCTAACATTGTTGCTAACCTGTGATTTTTCAGGTACTAATATTCATACGAATGAAGAAGTGGCTATCAAGCTTGTGAGTTCTTGTTTCTGAGTTTTTTCAGTTCATCCCATTTTTATAATTTGAACCATTTCTTCTGTTCCGATGATCGGTAAAAAAACTCTCGAGTTTAAGGATTGTTAGTAACATTGTCATCACCTGTTTTGCTTGATCATGTTTGGTATGCTGAAAGCTTAAATGGATTCCCTTTTTGTTTTGTCTTTTTTTCCAGGAAAATGTGAAGACAAAACATCCACAGCTGCTCTATGAATCGAAGTTATACAGGATTCTACAAGGGGGAAGTAATGATTCTTATACGACATATTTCGGATAATGGGTTTGTGATTCTTTTCTGTTCCTTATGACCTTTCTTCTGCTTTCAACTTTGGTAGCTGGTGTTCCGAATGTCAAATGGTTTGGTGTTGAAGGGGACTACAATGTTTTGGTGATGGACTTACTAGGACCCAGTCTTGAAGATTTGTTCAATTTCTGTAGCAGGAAACTTTCCTTGAAGTCGGTCCTCATGCTTGCAGATCAAATGGTAAAACCTCTTTCTCTTCTTCATGTGACGCCTTTCTTTCAACTTTTCGTTTATCTTTCAGAGTAAATATTGACTTTTTTGTTCCTTTTATTTTGTGTTAAGATCAACCGTGTTGAGTTTTTCCATTCAAAATCTTTCCTTCACCGAGATCTCAAGCCAGACAATTTCCTCATGGGCCTTGGAAGGCGCGCTAACCAGGTTTATCATCTTATGTCATAACTTTATCTTTCTGGTGTTGTTTTACTTTTGGAGACATCATCGGATTCACTACGTTTATTCCTTTTCTAAGGTATACATCATCGACTTTGGTCTTGCTAAGAAGTACAGGGACAGTACAACACATCAGCACATTCCATACAGGTGAGTTCATATCCTTGTTACAGCTTATGAATGTTTTTCCTTTGAATGCTCTTACATTTTCTTATGACTCTCATCTGCAGAGAAAATAAGAACCTGACAGGAACTGCGAGATATGCTAGTATGAACACTCACTTGGGAATTGGTAAGCTCGGCAAGACCTGTTTCTTATTTATGTGTTCCAGTTGCTCTCTATGTGTGTCTGTGTATCAAGGTTTGAGACTCATCTGCTGTTATTTGTTTTCTGGCATTGCGAACCTGAAGAACAAAGTCGAAGGGATGATCTTGAGTCTCTTGGTTACATCCTTATGTACTTCCTCAAAGGAAGGTGAGTTTATGCTACATGCCTAGCTTCAAGTTTTTCCCCTAACTCCTTCATTGTCATGACGTGTGGAATATCTCGGTTTTAGTCTTCCGTGGCAAGGACTGAAAGCTGGAACCAAAAAACAAAAGTACGAGAGGATTAGCGAAAAGAAAGTTTCTACATCCATTGAGGTAAGTCCTTTTCACAAATATGCTTCTTTTTTACTCACATTTGTGTTTCCCTCGATATAATTCTTATAATCGCCTTGTAGGCATTATGCCGTGGTTACCCGTCCGAATTCGCATCCTATTTCCACTACTGTCGGTCGCTTCGTTTTGATGATAAACCAGATTACGCTTATCTTAAGAGGATATTTCGAGATCTCTTTATCCGTGAAGGTTTGAGATTTTCTTTCCTTTGAATGAGTCAGTTCACAATTTTTTTTTGCACAATTCATCTCCTAACAGGAATTCATTTCTTTGTTGCAGGGTTTCAATTTGATTACGTGTTTGACTGGACCATCTTGAAGTATCAACAATCACAACTAACTGCGCCCCCATCTCGTGCCATTGTAAGTATGATTTAAAGCTCTTGGTTAATCTATCACTTGTGGTTGGGCATTCTCTGATCGAGTCTCTTCTGCTGCAGAATCCGGCGGTTGGAACTAGCGCTGCGTTGCCTCCGGGCATTTCCAACATGGATAGATACACAGGTAAATTTCCCAGATGAGCACTTTATCACTCAAAAGTAATTCTCATTCCTCTGCTTAGAAGTTAGTATCCATATTATTTGTTGTTGATTGTGTATCCAAGGCGAGGAAGAAGGTAGACCACATATGGAATCATCTCGACGGAGAGGTTCAGGTGCTCTTGAGAACTCGGCAAATCTTTCGAACCAACCGACATCCTCAAGTGCTAGAGACTCCATGGTATGAATTGCTCTGCATTTGTTATCTCTAATATGAGTTGGAAAAAGATGTGACTTTGTGGCGGAAAGTATTAAACTTTGTTCTTGTCCAATTGGATGTGCAGATCCCGAGCTCCTCGCTGTTTGCACAGTCAGCAGGATCATCGAGGAGAGTAACAGCGGTAAGTAGCAGCCGGGACAATTTTCCGGGCAGCGAGGAGTTTCAGAGAAGCCGTACAGGTGACGTCAGCCGGGGAGCGATCCCGAGGAGCTCTCAAGTGGAGGCTGGGAAGAGGTCTTCTTCCTCCACAAGAAGACACTACGAATCAGCCATTAAAGGCATCGATAATCTTCAAGTCGCCGACGAACACCACCCCCACTAATACATTAATTGTACTACTTGGTCAATGACCTTTTTTTTTTCTTCTTTCTTTTTCCTCTATTACACTACAAAAATTTGAATACAGTATGATTGATCCACATGGAATTGGTCTTACACTCTTCACTACGAATACGATATCAAATTGGCTATATGAAACAGATATGAATATTGGGGCTCAAACGCAATAATAAAATAAATGAAGATGCACAAATGCAAAATTTTCAAGGCAGGTTTTGCAATTTCATCCGATCCGGTTCAGCCCAATTCTTCAGAGTTGAGAGTCTTCTCTTTCCTCCTCGAGTAGCTTACTCACTGGAGCCCTAACCTGAAGTGACGATTCCCGGAGTTGGAGCTTGTCTTTGGAGTTTCTATTCGACGACAATCAGTAAGTTTTACGCTTCCGTCTTCATCGTCATAGCCGTGAGATTTATTTGATCATCGATTTATGGCATTTTTTTTTTATGAATTCTCTTGTCTTTGTTTCATGTGGGAATGGGAATAACGAATTCTCGGCAACCCCAATTATACAACACTGAAAGCTGCATATTCATACTACAATGTGGCCACCCGGACCACTTTTGCTAAGCTGATGAATGATGCTTTAATAGTCGCCAAACAAAAGGATTTTGATGTAATCAATATGTTGGATGTCATGCAGAATGAGAGTTTCCTAAAAGAATTGAAGTTTGGTCCAGGTGATGGGAAGCTTCACTATTATCTCTATAATTATCGTTTAAGAAACGCTTTAAAGCCATCAGAACTTGGGGTGGTACTCTTATGAGCTCACATATTGACTTCATGTTCTATTGAAATCAGCTAGCTGAAGTTTTGAATTTTTTTCATATTTAGTGTCAACAGTTGTTTGTCTTTCTTTTTTGCTCTTAACCCTTTCCCCACTTATCATGGGATACTAATGCTTATTTAATTTATTGATAATGCGAATTTGAACTTTCTGCAAAATTTATTATTACAGCTCTCAGGTTTGTAGTCATTATTATGACATTTCATTTCATCTGATTCCCATCTTTTTTGCTCAGCATCTGTTAAGAATCGCTATATGTGAATGTGACTGTTTGTTCACTTCTTTATTTTAAAGTGACATGTTACAGGAAACAGTGGAAGGGACAGGCAGCTGACATGTTGGTAGAGTCTACTCAAGCTCTTGACATTTCTCTCGCAAAATAGTTAATGTTTACATTTTCATGTACATAACTATAGATGTTGATATGTACAGAGTGCTCCTAGCTCTCTATTAATTTGGGACGAAGCATGGAATGCAGCAAAGCTCTTTGTATGGTTGATCGTTTTCTAGTGCATCCCACCATTTCTCATCACAGTAAATTGTTGGCAAGTTCGTTTGGACCCTCTCGTGAAATGGCAGTTTCTTCACTCTCAGGCAATCTGTGATGATTAAAGTTTCTAGTTTCTGGAAAGAAAATCGAGGTGGAAGGATGCTGCTTAGTTCTGGGAGATTCCTAATTGTCAATGTCTTCAGGCATGGGAACAATACTGGATCTTCCACTGATGGATTCTCGTGATCAATTATCAGTTCCTCTAGTTCTCTGCAGTTGAACAGGTCAATCTCCTCTATCTTTGGGAGTTTCGCAACCCATGATATGTTCTTCAGTTTGTGGCAGTGTGAAATGTTAATACAACGGATATTCCGCAGACACTCTTGACTTACAGAATTTTCCCACACTCTGCTTAATTTGGGGAGGCTGTTTAACGTCAAAACCTCTAGACTTGGAAGCCAATCATTTTCATCATCTGTGGGTGTGACCAGGTACTCAAATTCATGGCAACTTTTTATGCTAAGTCTTCTCAAGTTCCTACCATGGTTAGCAAGTGATGGGAGATTGAAGTAGAGGAGACCATTGCATTCTTCAACGTGCAGATGTTGTACGCAATTGTGCAAGGTGCCAACTTCGTAGAGAGTCTTTAGGGACTCTAGTGAGAGAATAGTGATACCGAGTGTCGTTAGATTTTCCATGTATTTCAAGTCCATAAACCCGAGTTCTTCTACTTCATCTTCTCCAAAGCTCTGCAATTCCTAACTCGCATAACTGTAGTACAAGTTCAGAACCTCGAGCTTGCTCAGCCAACATATGGCATCTCTTGGGATCGTCTAGAGAAACTGAGTTCTTTGTAGGTCCAGATGCTGCAGCTTTCTAAGATTCCCAATCTCCTGGGGCAATACACTTATCTTTGTTCCTGACATAGACAGATGATACAACTCCACTAAATACTTAATAGACAATGGAATCTCAGTGATACTTGTGAAAGATAAGTCCAAGACCCTGAGTAAAGGCATATGCATGAAAAACCCTGTTGGAATCTTTTTCAAATAGCTGTTCCGTTGGAGCATCAGTGTTGTCAGATTCGGGCATACAGGTTTTTCAGGCAAGGTCTGGATTCTGTTATCTAACAATGAAATCACCAACGCTTGTCGCCAGTTTTCTGCTTTAGAGGCATCAGTAAGTCCCATGCTAGGCTCTACTAGGATCAGCTCCTTATAAGTCCCTTGTTCAGATGCCATCCACAGTGCAAAACTTCTGACCACATTATGCATCTTCACCTGTGTTTTATCGTCCCCGGTTTCCAGCAAACACGCCGCTTTCAAATCCCCAATCAGAAAATATCCCTTGAAAATGGTGTTAATGCCCCGGGAGCTGGTGAGAAACCCTTCTCCGACCCAATACTCAACAAGCTGTTCGATCTCTATATAATGTTCTTCTGGGAACAAAGCGCAGTACAAGAAACAAGACCGGAGCAGATCACTCTCGAGATTTTCGTAGCTGGCTTTTAAAAGGGCAAATACATAGTTCATACCTTTCATCTCTACTGGAAATCTAGTCAGAATTTCACTAGCGTGGATCCACTCTTCTTCGGTCTCTCTGTGAGCCATGGCTCCTCCTAAAGTAATCAATGCCAGTGGCAATCCTCCACATTTACTCACTACAATCTCAGCGAGCCGGCGAATCGTTGGTGACCCCAAGAGATCTTTTCTCCCAACTTTATCACAGAAGAGCTCCCACGCGTATTGCTTCTCCAGAAAGTCCACTCTCAACTTGCAATCTGCACCCATAACGCTGCATAATGCCATAGACCGTGTTGTGAACATCAGCTTGCATTTGTTATCCCTGCTAGGTCGAGGAACTCCAGTTTTCTGCAAGTCTATCTCTTCCCAGGCATCATCAAGCAACAACAAGAACCTTTTCTCTTTTAAAGCTCTGAATATCTTCAAAGCTCTTTGTTCCCCGGTCTCGTTCTCGCCCCAGGATAAACCCAATTGGGCTCCAACAGCTTGCTGAATTGTACACTCGCCGAATTCCCTAGACATTGTAACCCATATCAGAATATCATACTGATGGCCTTTTGTGATCAGCTCGTTGTTAATGCTCTGCATTAACGTTGTCTTCCCAACGCCACCAGGTCCATAAACCCCGATGATTCCTCTTTCTTCTTCTTCACTGCGAAATTCCAAAACCTGTTCCATCATTGTGCTAATCCCCACTACGCACTTGACGGGTATCTCCCTACAAGTCACTTGAATTGACCCGCCATCTGTTTCTATATCTTTGGAGCGTTGTCTCAACTCACCGATGGACTTCAATGTCGCAGAAACCTTCTTGCTCAGTTTGTAGTCGGCACAACCGCAACAACCGAGGCATCTCCTTCGCATTCTCGTCCTCTGTTCCCGACGCCTAAACCTCACTAAAATGTAGGCTGTTTTAGTCTCTGTTGCTTGCACCGCACCAAGCCACTCTCTGGCACGATTTGAGCAGCTTCTCCCCTCAAGATCGTCTTGTTGGATCCGTGAATTCAGGTCATCACGTATGGCCTTCAAGTCACCGATGGCTGTTTCGAGTTCAGTGATGGCTTGTCTAAGATCAGTCTGATTTCTTGGCGCCATATTCATAGATTCACACAACACCTGAGCTAAACCCACAAGTAGAGATGAGATGAAATCCATTTCGATGCGCTCTTTCTTTACTTGTCTGAGCAAAGTAACGAACCAATAGTTAACTAGCCCTGGGCAAAATATTCGTTAGATTCGCTTCGCTTCGATGTTCGTTTCGATTCGATTCGAAAAATTCAAATATCTATAAGATATTGAACCGAAACAAATATGAAAATGTAGTATTCGTAAAAACCGAAGCAAATAACAAATATTGATTTTCTTAGTCCCGAATATCCGCTTCGCTTCGTATATTTATATATATGTATTAATATAAATCATTTTATAATATATATATAATATGTGTATTTATAGATTTGGGTATATATCTTATAGGCTTATTATTCAAATTATTATATTTTGGTCCATTGGTTTTTTTTGCTAAATGTTGTTCTTAAGCAAATAAAACTTTATTAGAAAAATCAATATTAAAAATAAAATGTGAGAATTCTATGGACGGTGGTTACATTTTCTTCTTATTTTGAAAACATGTCAAACAAGAACCTCTAATATCTCATATTTTGCACTTTATATTTGTGTACTATATGTTTTTAGTTTTTAAAAAAAAAAATAGATGGGTCGAAGCGAAGCGAAGCAAGTAATTCGCAAATATTACGAAAAATATTCGAATATTCGAAGTTACGAATACTCGAAAATTTACGAAGCGAAGCAAATAGCAAAATCAACTATTCGGTCGAAGCGAAGCAAATCACAAATATAACAAATTTTCCGAATATTCGCTTCGTGCCCAGGGCTATAGTTAACAAAATTGCTTCTCATGGTCGATCTAATCATTGATATGAATTGGTTGTTGACTCACAAAGTCAAGTCAACGGTAATAAAGCTATATGATGTGACTTGGTCTAAGAAAAACGACGAGTAGATTTGAACTTAGCTTAATATTTTCCTCGAAATGTTTGTTTATTTCCCTACTGGACGCGTCAAGGCCCGATAACAGATTCAGATTGGCCCTCTTACAAAATAACAATTCCAAATTTCCAATAGATATAATCGTAAGACATATTAGTAAAAAAGTCTTATGATGATGGTGTAACGAGAATAACAAAAACTGAAGAGTTGAAAATAAACTAGAAGTTTCTTAAAAAGAAATTGTTTTTGAATTGAAACAAGAGTATGTTGTATGTATTGTATACTCATCTTGAAAGACTCATCAAGTATGTATGTTTCACCAAAAATGGGAAGCATCGAGGACTTGAATGGATGTAATTGGTCATATACCAGTTAAGTATAATTTGTTAATGGGGGTAGTAATAGTACTGTTTCCGTTTACGAAAGAGTTGAACAACCTTACTATTTTGCCATAAGGCCCATAACCACTTTGCCCGCAAACGCAATCAATCAACACATGCAAGTAATTCTGTAAAAATAGGAGATGATTTGGTTCATTGAATATTGAGAGGTGTCTTGAGGTATATTTTTTTTTGTCTGTTGCAGGGCATCGTCCTCTGATCAGAAAGCCCACTTTCACACATTTTGGAATAAAACATATCATTATTAACCACCAGAACAACACAATAGTCCAAAGAGCACAGCACAAGTGGCATCAAGGAACTTTGAATATATACTTCTTGTATCTCTGTCTGTTGACGACTCTAGAGATAGAAAGAAAAGAAAGAAAGAAAGAGAGAGAGAGAGTTTCAAGACAAGATATTTACGGAATTTAATGAGGACGAAAAAGAAAAACAATAAAGAAAAGAGGTTGATGATGATGTCTTTGTCAGTGCAATGAACCTTTTATAAAATAAAATAATAAAATAATCTTCTTCATCTCTCAGGGGAGGCCACAACCCCAACTAACACATCTTAAACCGTACACGTCAACCTCTCTCGTTCCCAAAACCGGACTTTTTCTCTGGGTGTACGTGTCTCTCATCCACCGGTCCCTAAACGTAGGACCTGTCTCTTATATTATTATTATTCATCTTCTTTCTTTTCATGTTGTCGTTTGCATTATTATTATTATTATGTCCTATATGACTCCTCCTCCTCCTCCTTCTCCTATCCAATATCCATCCATACATCAATTATATTTACAATACAAATCTTTTTTTCTTTTTCTTATATATATATAGCGACATACAACACGCATATTATGGTCAAATAAAAATATAGTATATATTTGTCGAATTAATGGACTTCCATTACCTTAATCTCTTTCCTTGGTTTTTCCATAATATAATTTAATGAATCAATCGAAAATAAATGAAGATGTTACTGCATGATGGTTTTGGTTTTGGTTTCCTATACTAATAAACAGACTAACGAATGGTTTTGGTTTTTAAAAGTTTGACCAAATATGGTTTTTCAATATTAATTAAATTTTTATATTATTAGACGATTCATCTTAAATTATCATTATTTGGATATTTCATCCGGTGATTTTCTATTGTTTGAGAATATAAAAACACTTATTTCTTTCTCATCTTTTTTTTTTTGTATGGATTAAGAATTGTTCTTATACAGAAAATTTATCATTAAATTTTTGTAATTTGGTTTCTTTGTTTTATTGGTGTCTTTTGATGTTTTTATTATTTTAGTCCAATGATTAGAAGTTACGAATAATGATTTGATATTTAAGTATGCAGATTAAAGTATATTATGACAAAATAAATGAATTGCACAATACAAGATTGAACTCCGACTACGACACGTCATTTATTGAAAGTCACCATATGTGAAAATATAAAAATATTCATTAAAAACTGATGACCTAACTAAAGTTTTTTTTTTTTTTTTTTTGTCTGTCTGACTGAGTCGGTTCTCTCTCTTATCTCTCTAGCATCTTTTAGAGAGAAAGATATCGATTCTTTTGCAGCCACCGACCGTCCTCTGTTTTGGCGGTTTTTATGTCTAGCATACTCTAGCTTCTTCGGCGGAGATGGCTAGCTTTGTGTCTGGCATCTTCCGGCTTCGTTAGCGGTGATGGCTAGCTATGTGTCTGGCATCTTTCGGCTTTGTCAGCGGAGATGGCTGGCTATAAATTCGGCATCGTCGGCTTTCATTAGCGGTGGTGACCGGTTTAGTTCTAGCGGATCTTTCCGCTAGTCCCTGTTGCGATGGTCAATGATGTGCACAAGCCCAAGTGATGCTTCTTCGACTCTCGAAATCAGTTTTGACTCCCAAGTTCTCATATGTCTTCAACTACGTCAGATGTAGCTTCTCCTCCCTAGGCCTTGAACCGATTGATCCTAATTTCTCATCGTTGAGATGGGTGATGATGCGGTTAGGCAGCTCCTTCAGCTTCCTCCAACTAGAAAGTCACGATCAGATCCGGATCAAGATCTGAAAAGGTCTTCTTCTTCTTAATCGGACCTCCGTCGAGTGAATCTCGAGTTTACCGATGTCAGCATATATTTGATGGTTCCAAAGCTTCATCATCGAAGCCCATCAAGCTGGAGTTTGAAAGTAGATGGTTTAATTTCTCAAGTCTTTTAATCACCAAGCGAGGACGAGTAGTTCCGAATTTTCCCGATGGTTGTGGTGTTACTATCATCATCAACGAAGTTCAGTTCTCAGAGAAGAAGTAATTGTGTTGTGAGATGCTTTCCAATGGATCAAAGTAATTTGGGGTTCATTTTTTAAGTTTCGTTTGTTGAGCTTGTTTCGATTGTGGTTTGGTGCCTTATATTGGCTTCTTACTTTTATCATTTTCGTTTGTACTTTGGCTCCGGGGAATTGTCTTCCGCCGGCTAAAACTCTGGGGACTTAAATGTATTCTCCGGTTATGTATTTCCGTTTCCTTCGTTTGAAGGTTTTAATAAACAATAGTGACAAAAAAAAAAAAAAACTAAAGTTTTTTAGAAAAGCAAATCATATTTTGTTTGACATACAAAAAGCAAATAATTTATTTTATTTAGAAAAAAATAAAGATAAATGAAAAACATATATATATATATATCTTTTGGGATCGAAGCATGTGTCTTTTAAGAAAATATTATTTTATGAATTTTTAAAATTTCAAGAACGAAACATCTCCCCTTATTACAAAAACTAAATAAACCAACAAAAGAAAACAATTTTTGTAAGGTAATAAATAAAGTTTAAATCTACATAAATAGCAGATTCGAAGAAGCCATTGTAGCATTTGCCTACCTCCCCTCTCCCCATTATTTCCTCTTTCCTTCTCTTTTTTTATCTGGTGAACAAGAAGAAGAAGAAAGAACTCTTCTTTTGTCAACTTTTTTAGGTGGTATGTATGTGTAATAGATGAATCTAGATTTGGTTTTTCTAGTTGGAAATTTATTGAAGAGAGAGTGATTTTGCAGAAACAATCTTTTAAGAGAGGTTGTAACGAATTACCCACAATCCAGGAAACCCCCTCATTGACATATACACACAAATTCAATTTCATTTCCATCTTTGTTTTCTCCTTTTCTCCGTGTAGTGATTTTCCCGGGAAAATAAAAAAAATCTCCTTTTTTTCCAGAAGAGTCATGTGTTTCTTGTCTTCCTTCTAGCTCGCTTCTCTTTAATTAAATCTCTTTAGAAATCTGTCGAATTTTCATTTTTGTTCCATTCGAGCTATATCTTCTTATAGATCAAACTACCTTCCCAAAAAAAAAAAAAAAGATCAAACCTTTACCTAATAATTTCTGAGAAATCCAACAAAGTCTCGAGTTTTTTTTGTTTTTTCCATTAATGGAGGAAGTATCTCCATCGATCGCTGGTCCTTTCAGACCTTTCTCAGAAACCCAGATGGATTTCACAGGGATCAGGTTGGGTAAAGGTTACTGCAATAACCAATACTCAGCTCAAGATTCCGAGAACGGTGGAGATCTAAGGGTTTCGTTACCGGAGAGCTCGTACTCTGTTTCTGGGTCTCATGGTTCTGAATCTAGGAAAGTTTTGATTTCTCGGATCAATTCGCCTAATCTAAACATGAAGGAATCAGCAGCTGCTGATATCGTGGTCGATATCTCCGCCGGAGATGAGATCAACGGCTCAGATGCTCAGAGCGAGAAGAGGATGATAAGCAGAACAGAGAGTAGGAGCCTGTTCGAATTCAAGAGTATTCCTCTGTTTGGTGTGACTTCGATTTGTGGGAGAAGACCTGAGATGGAAGATGCTGTCTCGACGATTCCAAGGTTCCTTCAATCGTGTTCCGATTCCTTGTTAGATGGTCGTTTCAATCCTCAATCGACCGCTCATTTCTTCGGTGTTTACGACGGCCATGGCGGTGCTCAGGTAAATAGATATTCATCGATTAGCTTCGGAAAACATTGGATCTTGACGGTGAAGTTAAAGAATCTGATTTTGTTATTGGTGTTGTTGTTGATGTTATAGGTAGCGAACTATTGTAGAGAGAGGATGCATTTGGCTTTGGCGGAGGAGATCGCTAAGGAGAAACCTATGCTCTGCGACGGTGACACCTGGCAGGAGAAGTGGAAGAGAGCTCTTTTCAATTCTTTCCTCAGAGTTGACTCGGAGATCGAGTCAGTTGCGCCGGAGACGGTTGGGTCAACGTCGGTGGTCTCCGTCGTTTTCCCAACTCATATCTTCGTTGCTAACTGCGGTGACTCCAGAGCCGTTCTTTGCCGTGGCAAAACTGCACTTCCATTATCCGTTGACCACAAAGTAAGCTTACTTATACAGAGACTCAAGATCTATAGCTAGATCGGTTGTGATAGGTTTTTAGTTTTCAAGATGTTGAATTTGAGAAATTTATGAATCCATTTCTGATGTGTGTTTGTATTATTATGTGTGTAGCCGGATAGAGAAGATGAAGCGGCAAGGATCGAAGCCGCGGGAGGGAAAGTGATCCAATGGAATGGAGCTCGTGTTTTCGGTGTTCTCGCCATGTCGAGATCAATTGGTAAGCTTTCTTTCTGTTTACACTTAAGCTTGGCATCAATGATTCTTGAAATAGAAACTTTTTCTTACAAACTTATATGTAACATTCCAACAGGCGATAGATACTTGAAACCGTCCATCATTCCTGATCCGGAAGTGACGGCTGTGAAGAGAGTTAAAGAAGATGACTGTTTGATTCTGGCGAGTGACGGGGTTTGGGATGTAATGACGGATGAGGAAGCGTGTGAGATGGCGAGGAAGCGGATTCTCTTGTGGCACAAGAAGAATGCGGTGGCTGGGGATGCGTCCTTACTCGCGGATGAGCGGAGAAAGGAAGGGAAAGATCCCGCGGCGATGTCTGCGGCTGAGTATTTGTCAAAGCTGGCGATACAGAGAGGAAGCAAAGACAACATAAGTGTGGTGGTGGTTGATTTGAAGCCTCAGAGGAAATTCAAGAGCAAACCCTTGAACTGAGGCAGAGGGTCCTTTTCTTAATTTTAAATGAATATGGGTCTCTCAATGAAGAATATTTACTATTAATTTGTGCTTATTGTTAAATTTTTATTTTTTTTTTAACTAACAAGGTTTATAAATCATAATGAGATAATGAAGCTTAATGTGTTAAGCTCTTTGTCTTGACGTTCAAAAAAGCCCCTTGTATTTTTCCTCCCGGGCTAATTGTAATATGGTTACATTACATACATTAAGATGTAGTATTATTGTTTATGCAGCTAATTTTGCATATTTTACATACTGTAAATTGAAAGATATATTACTGTTCAAAACACAAATTATAGATATGTATGTAATAGTGATCTGAAAAGTAGTACACAAGTAAATCGAATTTTGTAGATTAGTCTTTTATAAAGGGTCATAACATGTCGAATATTTGTGTTTCATAAGATCTATTCTAGTGGATATAAACTGGAACTTGGTGGTCAAAAGATTGCTCAAACTCAGTTCTAGTTAGCAAGTGGGGGAATCAAAGATCCTGCGTCGGTAAAGTAAGCGGAGAGATTTGTATCTTCAAACATATTCACGAACTTGTGTGCCTATTCACCAGAAATTGCAACAAAAAGGGTCGTTAAAAGTGGTCCGAGACATTAGACATTATTAGAAGAAAGACACAAGAGTCTTTATAAGATTACGCACCAGGAGCTCCTCTGCTGATTTCCTGTCTCTTGGATCTTTTTGCACACTACACAAGTTTAAAGCATAATTTCAAATGCCCTACTCGTCATTACAGAAAATAAGAATGACATGATGAAACGGTTCGAAGAAATTGTCTTACCATTGCGAGATGAAGGAGCAAAACTCTTGAGAAAACAGATGGGGAGGTGCAGTAGGGGGTGCAGTTTCAACAATGGCGTCCACCAGCTCATACACGCTTCTCCATCCCTTCTTATGTTCTAGAGGAGTATACGGGAATTTACCTGTTGCACATTCGAGTAAAACAAGTCCTAGGCTCCAAATATCGCTCTTGCTACTGTACGACTTTCCGCTGATTCTCTCTGGCTGCAAACCATGATAATACCGTAGTTCATATAAGTCTGGAAACTGAATCTGTGCGTATATGGAGTGTTAAGAGGTGAATGGAGGAGACTTACAGACATATAGGGGTATGTGCCCACGAAAGAATTAGCTTGACTGCTCGTACTTGTCAAGATCTTGCTGACACCAAAGTCTGTGATCTTGACTTCACCTCTATGATTGATTAGCAAGTTTGAAGGCTTTAAATCCCGGTGAATGATTCGCCTGTCATGGTGAATATAGCATAGACCTCGTAGCACCTGCTTATGATAGAGAAGTAAGAGCTTAGTTATGTGTTTTCTTAATAAAGAGAAACCGGTAGAGATGTTTTAAGATTTTGCGTAGAGTACTCGCTTGCAGATGGCAGCGAGCATGTTCTCAGGAACTTTTTCGACTTTCTTTAACAAGTCTTCAAGGGATCCACCATCCATGAACTCCAGTATGATTGAAACGAGACCGTTATGGTAGAAAGACTGGTAACATGAGACTAGATATGGACATTGAGAGCTCAAGTTTATCCTCAGCTCCTGAGAAATGGCTTTACAGGTTGATTCTTCTGTGTTCACTGGAATGACCTGAAACATATATATTATGAATCTTTTGTTCAGCCTGAGAGAAGAAGAAAACACTCCTAAAGAAGAAGCAACATAGATTTAATGCAAACACCAAAACATAATCGAACCGAACCTTAAGAGCGAAAAACTGTTGAGTGAGTTTGTGTTTCACCAACTGGACATTACCACTGTTTCCTTTGCCAATGACTTTGATCACTTCCAGATCTGCCATACTCAGTTGGTTGTTGTCCAATGGCTCAATAGGAGGTGGCTGCGAACCCAAGAAAACATCCAATTCACTCATAGATATATAAAATGTAAGAGAGGAGAGTGAGAGAATCTCAGATTCAAGAAGCATATCCTTTGGTTCTTACAGCTCCAGGTTCAGACTGAGACACGATCTGGATTCCATCTTTATTAACTCTAAGGTCTCCATCCTTGAATGTTCCACTCTGTGTTCTATCCAAATTTCCGAACTTTAGAATAACAACAATGACCATAGTCTAGTGAAACCTATAAACAGAGAACAGTGAACTCTTCTGATTCACCAATTTGATGTAAAAGTTAAAATCCTAACCAGAAATCCTAAAATTCAAAGGGCAGGATCTGAAGAATAAAAACAGAGTAATGCCCTGAAATTAACATAAAAAAGGATCCAGAGAGAGAGAGAGAGAGAGTTACAAGAATTTGGAGATGGACTGCTCAGGAGGAGGGAGAGAGATGGGGTTAGGGCTCAAGCTGCCTCTGTTCATGTTGTCTGGTTGGAGGGAGATGAAACACTAGTAGCAGATAAACACACAGACACACAAGGTTAGAGATAAAGATGAGAGGAATGACGAACAGTGGACGTCGTGTAGCTGATGAGAATGAAGAAGAAGAAGACGAAGACTTTATGGTAGTTGACTTCTCCTTGACTCATCATCGCTACTCTCTCCTCTTTGAATCTTCTTCCATATTTTGTATTTATTGTCAACAAAGTTTCTTCCTTTATTTTGGAATCAAAATCATTATTGCATTCTCTAACCTCCCCACTTATTTATGTGTTCACATTAAGAAGAAGTTCATAATTATTAAAAGTACGGTTTTAATTATATTTTATAATCTTGTGATAAATTTTCTCCGACGAATGGTCTTCTTTTTTTATTTTTGAATGTGAAGTAAGTGTGGTTTTTTTTTCCTTTTTTTGATTAATTAAAGCATCTTGATTTGAATAAGTAGTAGTAGTAATTAAATGGGCATACTCGATACCAAAATCAAATGAAAAATGTCATAATCAGTAGATAAACACCACATGGATGGAAGAAATCCACTAAAATGATATATATGTGAAGTGTTGGTATGTGTAAGTGGTGTCCAGTGGGACTAGACTTTAACATTTATATTTTAACCTCTTTATTTGGTCAAACTTTTTTTTTAATCTATTTCGTTATTTTATTAAAATAGTTAACATTTAAAAATAGTTATATAGACAGATTCAATACAGTAAAACCTCTATAAATTAATACTCGATAAATTAATAATCTCTATAAATTAATAAATTTCTCCGGTCCCAAGTTGGGACCAATGTAATTTTAGACATATTTCGATAAATTAATAAGATAATAATTTTTTTGAAAATCCTTTGTAAATATATGGTCCCAGTAATATTATAAATTAATAATTAGGTAAATTTTTCAAAATATATGTATATATAGACACATTAGTTTTTGTTAGAGTTTATTTCTAATATTTTACTATATCAAAAATTGTTAGCATTCTCTTTCAATACATAATAATTATTATTTTCTTTGTAATTGATTATATAAAATACTAATTATCATGATTAAATCTCATTTTTAAATATTTTTCTGAAAAAACTTTCAAATTAGGAAAATATCTCTATAAATTAATAATTATTAATTTATCGATAAATTAATACCTCTATAAATTAATAGATTTTCATGGTCTCAACATTATTAATTTATAGAGGTTTTACTGTATATATTTTAGTCAGAACAATTTTTTAAACGTTAATAGGATGATTAGTGTAATTAGTGAAATAGAGATGTTTGGCTATAAAATCAAAACTAATACAAAAATACTCATTAAAAAGAATAAAGTTGGGAAGAAAGAAATTAATGGAGTTTGGTTTAAATTCATTTGAATATTAAATTTATTAAGCAAAAAGGGGAAAAAATACTTAAAAATTTTCTCTTTCTTCTTCCGCTCTTTACGCATTTAACACGCTGACGAGACGAAGTTGAACAAGCAGCAGCTGCAGCAGAAGCAGAAGAAGACGAAGCACGACGACTCTCTTCATCTCCCCCTCTCCTTCTCTTGCAATCAATCTCTTCTCCAATTCTTCCTCTAGAATATTATAATCCGGTGAGTTATTTTTATTACCTCCGTTGTCTTTTTTTTTTTTTTGGTTTTCTCCCGGACGATCTCCGCTCCGGTTCGTGATGAATTGAACGCCTGAATCGACTCCAATTGCTATTTGTAGTCGATATAGAGAGGATAATCTTACCTTCTTCTTTTTTCTATCATGGTCCTGTTTTCGCTGATGAGGATTTCTCCTTTGTCTGATTTGCTGTGTTCATTTTAGCTAAAACTCACCTCTAGTTCCTAGTTTTTTTTTTGTTTGACTAAGATCCACCTCTATGGCTGGCTTCCTTTATGAAATTTATTCATACTGTTGTTTTGTTTTTTTTTTCAGGCAATTATAAGATCTTGTGCACAAGCAAAGACATTTGACATTCATCAACGCTCGTCTACCAAACAACACATATGGGGGAAAGTAATCATCTTTTTTCCCCTCTTATGTATTTCTCTGATCATATATATTACTCCTCAAAATCACTTAGTTTACTTAGCCGTAAGTGTGTGTGAGTTTCAAGACAATCAATTGTGTCATGTTTATCAGTCTTGACTTGGGATGAGACAACACCACTGAGTTGATTGTCCCTTCTCATTGAGTCATTTCCATGAATGGAGTAGGTTTCATGAGTTTTCTCACCTCTTTGGAATTATTGATTTATCTATTATTTGGCAGCTGTTAAAGAGCGTGGAGATGCAAGTGCGGAGCTGGTAAAAGCCATTGGTGATAAGCATGCCAGTCTCGTCAGACCAGCTGCTAAATATTACTCTGCACTTAAAGGTACCATCGCCGTTTACTACAAGCGATTTCTCAGTCGATTTCGATAAACTCTTTCAAGATGTACGCTACTGTCATGTTTGCACCGTCAACTAAGAGACATTGGCTTTGTGTATGATAGATGCTGTGGTTTGTGGGAAAGGAAGATATACACTTGTAAAAGATGTGGACGAGGTAGAAAGTGGAGCGTATGACAAACCTCTTCCATGCTTTGGTTGTGGAATCGGATGGTTTTCGTGAGTAGACAGTATTGTTTTTTTTCTTCGAGTTAAGTCAATGCAGCTTCACTATAACCGATTTGTTTACTTACTATCTCTCCTATTACAGCTTCCTGCTGGGTTTTTTGTTCCCTTTCTTGTGGTTCTATGCGACATTTCTCTATTTCGGAAACTACTACCGCAAGGATCCTAGAGAAAGAGCTGGCCTTGCTGCTTCAGCAATCACTGTAATCACTCCTTTCTCTCTCGAACTCCCAACACTTTACTGAATGCGTTTTAGGAGGAGATGATGATGAAATCTGTTGATGTTGCAGGCGATGGGATTCTCCCTCCTGCTACTGGCGATTATTGTTTTCAGGTGGTTTTAATGGGTTCTCACTTATACCATAATGTTGAGATACATAAAATGAAGATCCCATACTTGTCAAAGGAATAGAGGAGGGACTTAGATACTTGTCTGTACATAAACCTCACATACAGATATTATATACCTCATCTTTTTACTCAAGCTCTGTATCATTTTCTTTTCACAATGTACAATTGTGTATAAAGAAAAGAGAAGAGAAATAAATGAGCAAATGGTTGTTTGATTCTTGAGCTGATATGAATTTTTCTTTTCATCTGTTTGCTTATTATAAAACCAATGTTATTAAATGAGTAAACAAAAAAAAATTATTAAGTGTAATAATTAATTAAATTATTTAACAACTTGTATAAATGGAATCGGCAAAGTGACGTATGCGCGCGGCAAGAGTGTTACTAGTTTCCTGATTGGCCCAAAGCTATTGAGAAAAAAAGAGAGACGAAAGATGAATAAATTTGGCGGGAAGAAGCCGACGGGAACACCGTCTCTAGCGTGGTCAACCGTCGTCGTTGTAGCCTCTCTGCTCGCTGGAGCCTCCGTCGTTCACAATATATACAAGCCTGATCTTGTAAGCTGTCTTTTTTTTATATATAACGCATGTAAGGTGTTCGACGAAATGTCTAGCTGAGATGAAAATTTGTTTATGTTAATGGTAAATTCTAAGAAAAATCCTCGGAGAGGGATGATCTGATATTCAGTTCCATTATTTCGTTTTTTGTCACTTTGGGTTGCAGAGATTACCTCAGATGGAAAGCGATGAAGGAGACAACAAGGTGGAGTCTGGAAACAAAGGTTAATTTTCGTTCGTGATTTTGGTGAATCAAAGTTCTTGCATTGGTTTTTCAGACTCCTATGAGTTTGAGTTATGTCCTTAGACCTCTGTGTTATGTTTGAATAAGTTCTTTCACTGGATTAGTACATTTTGATCCATCTAAGATTTCAAGCGATTGGTATTGGCAACAGACATTGTCTAGTTGTTGCAATAGATAGTAAATTATACGTGCTGAACTTATGTAATATTTTTAAACTTCGGTAAACTGAATTGGTTGAAATAGACTTGGTTTCGAGAAAATAACATAAGCTATGTATTTAAGTAATGCTATTAGATATTTAGATGTAATAACAAGTCAGTTTGGTCATGCTATTTTATCCGATAGCGCACACTATTTATCGAGTTCAACCTATATATCGTTCATAACACCATATCTCCGGCGATTTAACACTTCGACGGTTTGCTAACTCCTCCGATCATCTTTGTAACTAGATTCAAACGAGGTCAATACTCAGGCCCATTAATTTGTTTGGGGGCATATTAGTTCTCAGAAATGGGCTCAAATAAAGGCGGAGAACACTCTGAACTGATATTATCAAAATGCGATCTTCCACTATATACATGGACTACACTATAAGTGTGTCTATGTCACAATACACAAATGTGTTCAACAAAATTGAACTTAAAGTGTAAAGCCATCGAAAAATTCTATGATACAGACAGAACAAAAAACGTATACACAAAAAAAAAAAAACGATTTTTAACCTCACGCCAAGCATGCAGAAAACAACATACAATGAACATTAACAGTTTAAAACTACATGTATGTAACAGTGAGACGGCTTGAAATCGTACGTGGGAGATTAAAAAAAGACAGAACACACATCTAAGCTAATTAATACCTTGGAGGAGAGAAATAGGCGGAGAGTGGAGACAAGAGGCGTCGCGGGTTGAAGAGGGACACATGTCGCGGGGAGGCGATTCCGTCGATTTGGCGGTAATCAGAGACGTTGATGAAGCCTTCCCTCTCGCCTCCACGGCTAGCTCTCCTCCCCGGTGAAGAGCTCAGGCCGTACTTGACGAGCTTACCAATTCCCCACGACTTTTTCTTGGTCGGAGTTTTCTTATAAGACTCGGTCATCTTCTCGCTCATGTACTGCTTCAATGCTTCCAATCCTTGTTCCACCTGTTGTAACAGATCATCATATTTAGACTATCTTTTAATTTTATATATTCATGTGTCTCAAGTTTCTTGTACCATGCTAATTACGCAGTTCACTAAACAAATGAGCTTAATTAGCTTACACATATTATATACAAAACCTATTGACACAATAGATTTGTTTAGTACAAAAATCATATTTGCGTTGCTTAATTTACACATAATTATAGATAAGAATGCTTGTGAAACAAGTTACACTATTGTACATTATATTATCATTTTCTGAATGCATTCTATTTAGTTCTAGAAAAGAGATTATATTATCAAATCATGACATGTATGATGTATCATTATATAATTTGTATTATCTTAATCACAGTTTCGTACGTAAAAATTGTTATGAAAGAAAAAGTACATACCACTTCAAAAGGCGGGGAGATGAGGGGATTGCCCTGGACGGAGAGCTTCTGAATGCGGCGGAGACAGCCGAGGGAGTCTGGTAAAACTGTAATTCCGTTATAACTAACGTCAAGCTCCACGAGAGATATCAACAGCCCAACGGAGTAAGGCAACGTCGTCAAGTGCTGGAAGTTTTGGCTGACGTTAAGGACCTGAAGGTTCACGAGGTTCTCAAGATCCTCGGGGAGCGATCCAAGTCGGTTCAGCCTAGCGTCGAGCACACGAAGCGACGTCAAGTGGCTAACGGATTGTGGTAACTGGACGATCTTGTTCGAGTTGACGGAAAGCTTGGTCAGATTGGTTAGCTCAAAGCCTATTGCGTCTGGGAGCCTCGTAAGCTCGTTGAAGTTGGCGTTCAGCTCTTCCAGAGATCTGCGCGTTTTTGTTGCGTACGTTTGTTGTGTGTACGTACGTTACTTGGAATATAAGATAATAAGAGAATTTTTGGAATCTTACCGGCAATCTTCGATAGTTTTAGGGAGAAACTGGATATAGTTTCCTGAGACGTTTAGAAACTTAAGCTTTGAAAGACATCCAATGGAGTTTGGAAGAGTTTTAAGCTGATTGGAGTGTAAATCCAATGCCGACAAATTTAACATTCTTGCTACTAAAGATTCCGGAATTTTCTGCATGGGAAATTAAATTTATCAGTACGTAAACAATCTTAGTTAAGTTTTAAGCGATACACACGTACATATATAAAGTTATAAGATGATTCAAATTCAAAGTATACCACTGTATATCTGTGATGGGACCTTAAGTAATATATAAAGGGTTAGGGCCAATCCCCTCATTGCTAATTTGTTTTGAGTTGGAAGCCCGTAACAAACCCTAATTTAACATGGTATCAGAGCACGAACACACGCTGACCCATTAATTAATCCGGCCCGGATAGAGGCCCGATCACCCTATTAATTGATGGCCCAAAAGAATGCCCAATTCTATCGAGATAGCTAGAAGAGCATTATCTCGAGGGGGCGTGATGGATTCTGTCGAGATTAATGACTAAAAGAGCCATTATCTCGAGGGGGCGTGTGGAGAAAAGATCCCACATCGGAAGATGTGATGGGACCTTAAGTAATATATAAAGGAGTAGGGCCAATCCCCTCATTGCCAATTGGTTTTGAGTTGAAATCCCGTAACAAACCCTAATTTAACAATATCTCTCTTGATTTGCTTCTAAATTTTTTAACATGTTTAAGTTAACGAATCCACGATTTTATCTTTTGACGAGGGTAAAGTTTTCTTATATGAAGACAATATTATACGTACTACTTTTACTATTCTAGTGAAAGAGGACAGAAAATGTTAAGATCAACTCGTATTTATGGATATTTAAATGCTATTCACTGATAATTTATATATATACAACACAGCTATGTAACGAGGAAAACAGAACACCTGTGGCTCAATTGCTTATTCATCGCAGACGACGTTTGAGTAAAATAAAAACGAATATGCTTTATAAGGTTCGAGTTGACCAAAATAAACTTTTGTTTTCATGATTTTAAAATTTTCTGATAAATATAATTTTGTCTTGTGTTTCTGGCAAAACTTGTTTTATCCGTAACCATTTTTTTGTCTTGTAATAGATAATAGAAATCTAATTAAGTTTTCTTTTCCTGGAACAAAAATAGGAAAATCACAGATTAAGGAATACGGTATACAACATTGACCAGCAACGTTATTTTGGCTGTTTACTAAAATAATACGGAGTTTATGTGTTCACACACATTCATCCTTTAGCAATTTTTTCCTTTCTGATTTAATATCTAACGACTCATATATTATATGCAAGAGGAAGTTTCCTAGCTTCATTTTCTATAAAACAATCTTTCTAATTATTTCTTTAGCAAACAATTCCTCATTGGTCACAACTTGTTGTTATTAGGGTCTAACTTTTAAAATATTAATGAAGAAAAATGGCTTATTAATTTCCATAAGAAATTTTAAACAAGTTCGTAACATTAAAACCATTTATTTTTAACAAGTTCTTATTTCCACAATACACTAATTAAAATCTGTTGTTTATTTATCAACGATGAAAATTCAAGATTCATATATGATCCGACAGAAGAAATATATATACATATTTACCTGAATATTGTTGTTGGAGAGATCGAGTTTGGAGATTGAAGCTAAGTTGATAGAAGAGGCAGAGAGAGAAGCCAAGGACATGCCACTAAGATCGAGAGTCTTGAGAATCTGTCGGCGATCTCCTTCTCCATCCGTCGCAGCTGCCGCTGCACCACCGTCGATGGCGGAGACACTTCTCCTCGTAATTTTCTTGTGTGGAGTGATGTTGTTTAGTCCCCTCTTATTGAAATTCTTCATCATAGACGTCGTCGTCATTGTCATCTGATTCATCTGCTCGTAACCCATCATATCTTCCTATGTGTATGTGTATGTGTATGTGCATGTATAGATGTACACACACACAACAACAACAAAAGTAGAACCCGAAAAGAGAGAAGGACGAGGAAAGAGAGAAAGATATGTTATGTGATGAAGATGTGTGTTATAAAAGAGTAGGAAACGAGATCCTATTTATATATGATTTATAAAGTTATTGAATATATATATAGAGAGAGAGGGAGAGTTGAAGATTGAAACGGAGTTGAAGATCGAGATGGAGTTGAAGATATGTACGGATGATAAGAGAGAAAAAGAGCTTGGCGTTGAAAACTTGAAATTCTCTCTCTAGATTTTTTGTTTTGTTTTTGTATTTGTATTGAGTAATGAGTATATATATCACTATCAAATTACTTTTTGGCTCTCTATATATGCCTAACTTTCTGGTTATACCAAATTTTAAAGTATATTTAGGATGTATATTAGGATTATATGTAATTCTTTTTTTCATCAAAAGGTTTAAATTCTAAATATGTTTTTTTAATAATAATGTTCAACATATCTAATGTAGTATGTAAACAAGCTCATGTTTCATATTTGAAAATTTTGTTTCACTCTCTGAATTATTTTAATTCAAAGTGATTAATCCTAAAGTGCTTGCTTTGAAGTTTTAGTTTGACAACTTTTTGGCACAAAAATACTAAATTGTAATTAAAAATAAAAACATGAAACTAAACGTTGATAGCTACTATATTCTTTTAAAAACAAATTATATAAAATTACCATATGCGAAGAGAGCAAGTAACTAATTGATTACTTTGAAAGAAACAAAACACCAAACTAAATTAGTCAAATGATGATATAAATCAAAGAGTCATATATTGCAATTGAACTCGTGACACTGAAATCAACCCAGAACAAATTTACCACACAACAAATTACATACAAACAAAAGATTTGCAAATTTTATAGGGGTCACACACACAGGTCACTTGACCCTACTATCTCTCTAAAGTGACTCCGCCCCTATATTTTTTTTTTTTTTTTACGTAAAAAAAAAAAAAAAAAAAAATTTAGATGTACGAGAACAAAAATTTAGATGTACGAGAACAAAAACTCCAAGAAAACCCCTATATAATTTATACAAACCCACCAATGAAATTAGACACTAATCTTATATATATAAGTTGAAGGATTTGTTAGGACGATATTTGTTAGAGAGTTGTCATCTATTTTATCGACATTATAATAGTACTGTAAATATTAAACTAATTATTATATATGTCATGGGGTATGTAGATGTACGAGAACAAAAAAAAAAACATTAAACTAAAAGATAAACAACATAAAGAAGATATGTCCGAGAAGGGAAGTGAAGGTACGGCCCCGTAAAGCTGTATGCCACGTCATCAATTTGAATAAGTCAACTTTTCTCATACGGTTGACTTTGTTCATTTTCATTTTGGGTACCCGCGAATCTCGCATGTCGCCACCCGATCTTTTTTTTTTTTGTTTTGTTAAAAAGAAGAAAAGCTAATTAATATACACATTTGAGAAATATATAATCATATCTAAGGTGGTTTCTGTAGCACCGCCTAGAGTGTTTTTTTTAATCGATACTTTTAGTAAATTAGGCGGTTTGTAATGTATAAAAGATTATATAATTAGATTGGTTAACATACAACTTGGAGGGGTTTTCTTGGAGTTTTTAAAATTTATGTTGCACGATTATAATTCTAGATTAGGGTAAAGAGAAAGAAACATTTATTTTGGAAGATATTTGGCCTTTACATTTTTTCGTATTCTTTGTATAAAAACAATATTTAGCAGATTTTGAGGTAGTTCCTATTAAAAAAATGGGTGCACACTTTTTGCTGGCCGATTACTATACGTAACAACATGTCTACATGGTAACACACTAACACGTACCGTGTTATCAACTATTGAAAACGCAAATACATGAACATGTCCATACGCCATCTCTATATATATATGTGTGGCGGGTTGTGTTTTCAGTTAAAGTCGAAGATAACATTCTTATCTTCTTTTTATGAAAAGAAACAAATCCTCTTTTGTGTCTTCGTGAAAACTACATCAAATTTTCAAATTTGCGATTAATCCATATAAAGTCACACTATGACCTCATGTATGGGGACCAATTCAGTTCTTTTCAACAGAGAAATATGGTGATTCTATAAACCTTATCGCATAACAAGTTGCCTTTGTCAATTACAAATATTTTCAATTGATCATATCATCAATATTTATGTAGCCGTCTTGCTACTAGAACCCCAAACGCTAAAAACATAAGATGCGAGTCTTGATTATTCATTCACACACCACTAAAAACTGGTTTTTGTGAGATGTGTTTACGTGTAAGCGCCCACGGATTTATAAGCACATGGGAAAAGGTCCAAATCTGAGCTACCATTAACAAGTTTAATATTTTTCTTCGCAATAATTAGTTTTGTTGTGTCTATCGGGAAATTATAATATGATTAATTTCACTATTTGTTCTTATTCGATAATACTAATTATGAGTAATGATCTACTATACTAAACCGCAATGTGTTCCTCCTCGAGAAGATTCCAATTAAAAAAAAAAAATATACGTGACATAATTTTCTTCAACAGCTACGGAAGTTGACCGTAACATTTTAATAGTGTGATAGGAGAGAGAGCTTATATATATTAAGGCTTTATAGTTAAGCTGTTTTATCTGATGTATTAGTCCATACTAATATTTAATTAACTAATTACACGTAGTTTATTTGCTACTTGCAATAACTTTTGCAAGTATATTTTGCTTGTAAGACATACCTACCCGCGATATCTTTTAGCTGTTGCTTTGTCCTTCGATTAGTTTATAAACTATCTTATTATAATTATTTTCATCTACATACTATATATGATTACCCACTTGATAACAATGTGGTGCAATCAACTATTTCTATACTAGAATATAAGTTTCTAATTTATAATTTAGTAAAAAAAACCTTTTGGAAAAGAGTTCAAAACCAAATTTATGCAAATTTGGTTATTTAAACCCAAAACGAATAATATTATATTAATAAAAAATAGTTTAGATTTGGAGAATTCAACAATTGATATTAGAGTCTAAGTCGAAATAGAGACCTAGAGCATTAGTTATGGGCTCTACATTTGGTATGGAAAACCTTCAATATAAGACGATAAAAAAGTACCTCAAGAATACTTGGCAAATAAGGGATGACAATGTTGGGTGCCAAGGCTTCATTGGAGAGAAGGCCAAAGATTCGTGGTTTATGGTTAGATAAAAGTATTGTTGGAAGACAAACCAACGTCCCACATCGACAGATTAAAAAACAACGATGTAACATATAAGTAAAGTCAAACTCCAATTAGTACGAGGCCTTTTATAAAGGAGTCTAACAACGGACTTTTCACATAAGCTTAAAAAGGACAATATCATACTAACATGAAAGTTGACTTAGCAGTTTTTAGTCATTAAAATAGATTATGAATTGCAAAATACAAATGACTCTTTTTCTTATGTAACATAAGTTGAAAATAAAGACAACAAAGAAAAAGAAAAGTTTATTAAAATTACACTTTGTTAAAAAGTTTGAGAACCACTTAATTATGTCTTCTTTATTGCCTTAGTTTTCTTCTGCAACTTTGTCCTCCGGTTTGATCTTTGTTGATCTTATGAGATTTACCATTAACCTCTTGATGATTAAGAGCTCTAATTCTTTTCTTGCTCTCCTCGTTACTATCGCTCCTATAATGAACAAACTTCACATGTGCAGCCAATATATGCGGAGTATCAAACAAACCGTTGCATTTGAGACATATAAATGCACCGTCATTTTCGTAGGGCAGGTTGTGTATCCAATCTATGTTTTCAACATCTCCAGTGCCTTCACCTTCCTCGTAATTAATATAGTCATCAATTTCTTTAAGAACCTCAAGTGTTTTATGGAATTTTTTCACCGGCCGACAATCTTTGGGAACATATGGATCAAAACGCCGAAGAGATGTCGAGTCTTGTTGGGAAGAAAAATAATTGATGGGATTAGGGGTGAAGGTTTCATAGTGTTTATCAGAAACATTTGGAAGGTGAGATGTAGAACTCCAAATGGTTGGATCGGAAGACATGACACGTTCGTTATCATTTTGGACACTAGCAATATTACTGGTAGGAACAATAGCACAATACCTATTTTGGATAGTTTGATTGATAAAAACTCTAGAAACCCTCACAAAATTTGAGATTTGAGTTGTGCGGCAAGGCATACTGAAAGAAGAAACCATAGTGCTTCTCATACGATAAGCCACATGGGAGCTGTTGAATCTTGAAGACGACAAAGAAATTTGTGAATCATGTGATCGAGAAAAGAAATTGACATGATTTGTGGTATTGGATTGGTAGTGATTCCTCATAATTGAGTTATTTTGGATATGAACAACCTCGTTGTGGTTCACAGTATAATCACTGTAAAAATTGAAGTCATTTGGAATTAAAGACATCTTGAAATGAGAGCGTGCTTTAGAAATTATACATGTCTATCTATTTATATTAGTACACTTTAGTAATTAGACTAAATTGGAAAAAGTAGAAAAGATGAAATTAATTTATTAACACAAGGAAAACATGTTTTTAATGTTGACTAGCATTTAATATCTTTATATGAAAATCTTCAAACATTTAATTTTCTAAATTTGTAATTGGAAAGCCTCTATTTATATAGTAATCTTTGGATGTTGTTCCAAAAATGTAAATTTTATGTTTAACTTATCTGGCTGTGTCAGTTGTAAATCATGTTTTATACCATTATTACCCTATTTATTTATATACAAAAAAAGAAAGATGAACACTTTTATATTAGTTCAGCACACAATAATGAAACTGAAATTAAATACATTAATTCATCACACTTTTATATTAGTAATATCAAAAGTGATACTAATACAATAAAGTCAAATTAAATCATAAATTTAAGTTTTGGATTGATAAACTTTTATTTTTTTCTTCTTTTTGATAGATAATTTCTTTCTTTAATTATATGTACTTCCAATATACAGTACTAAAGAAGTTAAAGAGTTGACCATATATATATATATATATATATATATATATATATATATATATATTGGCATTTTGTAGATGCTTGTGCATCTTAGTATCAAAAGCAATAAAAAATATCTAAACTAAAATGTGGAAACATTTATATTATACTGTATACTTTTTTTTAACCTATTAGGCTTTTATACAGTATGCTTTATGATATATTTTCCAATCAGTAAATGATTTTTTTAATTATTAAACTAAATGATAAACGGCTGTAATTAATTATTTGTTTGCGTTTGCACTATTTAATATTTTAATCGTATTTATTTCGTTGAGTCAAGGTTTGAAATTTCACACCTTAAGTGGGGGAATTTTAAAAATACCCCTTTTCATATACCTCTTTTTAAAAATACCCCCTTTTCAAACTTTATCAAAAAACCCACTAAAAATGTTAAAATTTATCCAAATATGTGTGTAAGCTTATAAATATATACACAAATTACCTTTATATGTGTATAAAACTTTATATACCTTTCATAAATACCGTAAAAAGAAATTATAAAAACCTTATAAAAACCTTATAAAAACCGTATAAACCCTTTTAAAAACTTTATAAAACTTATAAAAACGATTTAAAACTATTTAAAACATTTTAAAATATTTTTATCGAATCTCCCAGTAGTAGATATTATATAGAAGTACCTTATAAACTATATAAAACTTTATAATTTTTTTTATTTAAGAAGGGATATTTTTGAAAATAGATAGATAAAAAGGGTATTTTTAAAAAAGGGTACACCAAAAGGGGTATTTCTCAAAAATTCTCTTAAGTTTTCGTTAAAATGTGTTAAGGTAATAAGGTTTTTATTTTGATAAAAAAATAAAAATAATAAGGCTTTTAGGTGGAGAACAACACGATCCAGACAATGGCATTGAAGGCCCATTAATATCCATCCAATTGGAAACCCCCTTTCGATTTTGTTTCATTCATCTCCCTCTCGCCTTTACGCATTCGAAACTCGAATCTAAAATCATGGCGGCAACAAGCGATGAGCAGATGAATTTGCTTCTTTCAAGTTTCGATCAGATCTACGAGGTGATTTTTGCGATTCTCTCTTTCTGATCTCTTCTTCTTCTTCTTCTTCGCTTGGTTGCTGCTTCCACTATTCTCAGTTCTGTTTCGTTCTCTCCATAGAAAAAAAAAAAAAACTAATCTAGTCTCGATTATGAGTTATCTTCCTCTGCAATCAAATCGATTTCTATATCTTTATCTAACCGAATCGATTTTGGAATTGGATTCTGGAAATTTCGATCTGCTCATGTTGTAGCTTTTAGAAATTTATCTGGTATTCTGAGAATTTTGGGTTAGTGACTGTACTACACAGATTTCAAATTGACTGCTCATAATGTTTTGAAGTGATTACATGGTTTGAAGGATTTAAGATACGCAGCTCGATTTTGTTTGTCTCAGGATTTTAAAAGCGGGTTGAATGAGATCAATGTTTACAGATCAAAGAGCAATGTTGAAACCAGCAGAAGAGATGTTCTTGAGATTACTAATAAAGCTCTTAAAGAAGGTTTGGTTGGTTTTTGTTTGATGCTGTTTAGTTTAAGTGGTTTTTGAGGTAGGTATCTAAATTGTTAAACTCGAATTTGGATTCTGCAGAGAATGAAAGGCTGAAGAAGCTTTATACTGAATCGCTTAACAATTTTGCTGATCAGGTCGCTAAATTCCGGAATTTTGTAGTGTTTCCTTTTGAGACCACAACAATGTTCTCTGTTTCTTGTGCCTAATACCTGAAAACCTTTCTATGGTTGGAGATTAGTGCAGCTTGAGCATCGTACTAAATGCCATAGTTTGAAAGAAGAACTGATGAGAGTGAATGATGAAAACAAAAGCAAACAACATGTGAGCTTTTAGATCTCTCTATACTTGTCAATTCTTTTTTCAGCTTAAAGAATTTTCCTTGTGCTTTGAAACTGAGGATGATGCTTGGAGCATTCCTAGCTATGTATCTGTTTTGAGATATTTGTAAGCTGTGGCAGGAACACAGGAACGTTTTGGAATCGCTTAGGCAGAAGCATGTAACAAAGGTTGAAGAGCTAGAGAATAAAATCAGGTAAAAGCCAATTTAGCAAGTATTATTTCAACTGTCTGTGTATCTCATCTTTTTGGTTAACTGCCACAACTTTTATGTACAGGAGTCTCATGGTTGAAAAAGCAACAAACGATATGGTAATTGATAGGCTTCGCCAAGACTTGACAGCTAACAAATCGCATATTCAAGCAATGTCGAAGAAACTGGATCGAGTAGTTTCTGAAGTGGAATGCAAGTGTAAGACTCGACACCTAATCTCCAAATGTACCTAAGTTTGTGGTTTCTTTACGGCTCCTGATGTAATCGTTTGATAGATGAACTCGAGATTCAGGATCTAAAGGACTGCCTTCTAATGGAACAAGAAGAGAAAAACGATATCAGTAACAAACTTCAGAGTCTGCAGAAGGAATGTAAGAGTTTCTACATCTCCCTAACTCAGCGTCGCGGAAAAGTGATCGATTTGGTTTGGTTTCAGGTTTCATTAGCTGCGAGACTAAGAGTCCACATAACTCCTTAAGTCATTATATTGCAAAACTAATTGCAGATCCCTTTTTATTAATTGCAGTGCTTATTAGTAGAACGTCAATAGCTGAAAAGCAGAGGGATACAACTTCAAATCGACAGGTCGAGACTTTGAAACAGAAGCTAATGAAACTGAGGAAAGAGAATGAGATCCTTAAACGGAAACTATCTTCTTCATAGAACAGCCAGGAAACAGACACTTACCGTCGGATTACTTCTTCAACGAGTAAGTTCCATGAACCCAAAGCACTTTCTTCAGATTACTTTTGTGGATGATACACTTGAAAACATACACCAAAACCTATAGTTACCATCTTAAAATGCATATAAAACTGAATAAGAACCCTACATATGTTTGCTAGTAGAAACTTTATAAAGATAAGGTCTTGTTAATTCAGTTTACAAGAAATTGGACTCTAAGACGGCATTATTCATTAACTATTGTTATCCAAAAAGTGATAGATTTAAGAATAGAGTCACAAAACTGAAAATAGAAGTTAATATAAAAAATCAATACAAGTCCATGCAACGCAGGAATCAATTTTTAAGGAAAATTAAAACATGATACCGGAACAAGCACACTTTCCGATTTGTCTGTAAGAAAAGCACACAAAGCATAGGATTCCGCTGGATCTCTCCATGAATAATGGTAAATAAAAGAAAGTGTAGAATTAACGTCCGTTGTTGAAGACTCTGCAGTTTCTCCTGATCTCTCCAGAACGTCCTGTAAGAACCCTAATGGTGCCCATTTTCACCATTGCCTGAGCAAATCTCTGTCTGAAGAGTGCATTGCTCGATGCAAAACTCGACACAATCCCACGGGTTGATCTATCGAGACCCAAGTTTTGGTCAATTCTTAGGATTCCTCTTTGACGTCGGATTTCTCCAAATATTGCGTTGTCCACGGTAAATGGAGTCCTTTGGTCCAAAAATACTGATGGGTCATTGGGGGAACGACATGTGTTCCTCAACCTAGCGTTCAATGTGCGGTCCATCGCTGGATCGTTAAGCCTATCTTGAAAGAGACTGCAGTGTGTAACACCAACGCTGTGGCCACCACCAATAAGTGTAACCATATCGTTCGCGTTCATACCTTGAGCTGCAAACAACTGGATAGATGCGCCAACCGGAATTGTTGGCCCGGGCAAGTTCACATCACTGGGGACTGATCTTAATCCATCACGTCTTCCTGTTGGCACTGAGAACCTTGGACCGCCAGCAAAGGCCACAGAGTCTCTGGTGGCTAGAGTTACAATGTCTGCGCATGAGACAGTTCGGGGACATGCAGCCTCTAGCTGTCTCTTAGCCTCATCAATGACCTCGTACCCTCTGACGCTTGCATTTGGTCCGGTGCTTTTCTCTGATGGCCTTCCAGGCCTTGGGTCAATCAAGAGAGAAGCATCACAACCCTACAAAACCATTTAAAACATTTCTTGATCAATGTTATGTCTCAATATAAGCTAACTTATAAGTTCTATACATATCTCAATATACACAAAAAAAAAAAACAAGGAGAAGCGTACGAACCCTGACAAAACAATCATGAAACTGCATACGAAGCAATGCTGCAGTAATGGAACGGTCACGGCGGAAACGGTTGGCAACAACATTAGCAACGATAGATTCAGCGCGAGGGCATGAGCGGCCGTAGAACCCGAGTCGGAGCTGCGCCAAAGCAGAGGGAGCAAGGAAACAGAAAAGGAAAAACAAAGCTGCGATTGCCCTCATTTCGTATGATGAGTTCTTACTTCCCTCCCCTGTGAAAACGTAGAAACACTTATTTCTAAGTTTTGCTGATGCAATGGTTCGTGTCCGTGAGATGCATATTTATATGTAAAGTTGGGGACAAGACATTGTCAAAGCGAATGTTTCATTTAAAAGACGTGCATAGGGTAAATGTGGATACATAGGCGATTGATGGTTGAAAGGAATATACATTGTAGTAGTTGTTCTTTGTTAATGTCTTTAATAAATATGTAAAGTTCGTCCTCCACACGTCAAAAGTTTGAGTATATCCAACTTGGAATATATTTTGAACAATTTTTGCGTTCAATATATATTGTCGATTTCGAAAAATGGTACGCACCATTTCTATTTCGAGATGCTGATTCATTAAGATATGCTATTGTTTTCTGATATACAGTTATACACCTTTTTGTTTTATCCGTTTTAGATTTGAAAAAAACAAAAAAAAATAAAAAAATTCAAGAACTGGTTCTTGTGGTACACGAAACTAAAATAAGATAGAAACAAATAAAGTAGAAGGCTACAAAGAGTTTCTGAAGAAAGTGATGTTTAACGATTTGATAATTAAACTTCATTAATCCACTCAATGATACATACATACTGTAGTTGATATCAGTTGTACATTAGGTACCGATTTTACATATATATCACCAAAGAAAAATATGAGTGTACCTTCTTACGCCAAAGATGCGACGAGTGAAGATATGTGATCCTCGAACTTAACAAAAGCAAAAATGAAGTGAACAACCAAACATACAATGCATTTGCCCAATCTTCTACAGTTCTACTGGTCTCGGTAAAGCTACTCGTTTTAGGTGTCTTAATCTTGTAGGGTTTCATGTTTCAGCATCACAATTCACATACATACGTCTTTATGATTGCATTTGGGTATATTGTCGTTTCTTTCATATTTTCACATGCTGTATATATATTCAGAATGAACCATTTGAAATGCAGCAAAACTAGATGAAATGAAGCATGCATAAGTATCATGATTCTCATATATGATGAACGCAGTTTACATTTAACGGTTATATATGATCAAACTTACTATGGACCCTGTGCTGATGTATTAAATTGGCCTTTAGTTTCATAAACTTTTTTAATATAGTGAAAACTTTGAAGATATATAGTTATATGTACTTTTTTTTGTCACTCGCAGATATATACTTATATACACCAATTTTAAATGAAACAGACCATTCCTGAATTTTGATTCGGGTGACAATACCAGTTCAAATTTCTCAAAAGCATCTGAATAAAAAAAATATGAAAACCAACGAACGAATTGTTGAACAACATAAAAATGCACACTATAGAATAATATGAGATTGACCAAAAACAAAAGAATGACATGAGTGATCACATAGAATAGCAAAGTACAGCTTACAGATGAATCTTAAGGAAAATACAAAACATACTTTTACGCACACGCAAACTTTATTTGACGGAGAAAAACCAAACGAAATATTAAAATGAATAATGGTTTAACAAACAAAATGTGAATCAACGTCCGTTGTTGAAGACTCTGCAGTTTCTCCTGATCTCACCAGAGCGTCCCGTGAGAACCCTAATGGTGCCCATTTTCACCATTGCCTGAGCAAATCTCTGTCTGAAGAGTGCATTGCTTGATGCAAAACTCGACACAATCCCACGGGTCGATCTATCGAGACCTAAGTTTTGGTCAATTCTTAGGATCCCTCTCTGTCTTCGGATCTCTCCAAATATTGCGTTGTCCACGGTAAATGGAGTCCTTTGGTCCAAAAACACTGATGGGTCATTAGGGGAACGACATGTGTTCCTCAACCTAGCATTCAATGTGCGGTCCATTGCTGGATCGTTAAGCCTATCTTGGAAGAGACTGCAATGTGTAACACCAACGCTGTGGCCACCACCAATAAGCGTAACCATATCGTTCGCGTTCATACCTTGAGCTGCAAACAATTGGATAGATGCGCCAACCGGAATTGTTGGCCCGGGCAAGTTCACATCACTGGGGACTGATCTTAATCCATCACGTCTTCCTGTTGGTACTGAGAACCTTGGACCACCAGCAAAGGCGACAGAGTCTCTGGTGGCTAGAGTTACAATGTCTGCGCATGAGACAGTTCGGGGACATGCAGCCTCTAGCTGTCTCTTAGCTTCATCAATGACCTCGTATCCTCTCACACTGGCATTTGGTCCAGTGCTTTTCTCTGATGGCCTTCCGGGTCTTGGGTCGATCAAGAGGGAAGCATCACAACCCTACACAACCATTAAAAAAATTAGTTCATCAATGTTACACCCACGATATTAGCTAGTCCATGATAAAAAAGACACACACAAGGAGAAGCTTACGAACCCTAACAAAGCAATCATGAAACTGCATACGAAGCAATGCTGCAGTAATGGAACGGTCACGACGGAAACGGTTGGCAACAACATTAGCAACGATAGATTCAGCTCGAGGGCATGAGCGGCCGTAGAACCCAAGTCGGAGCTGCGCCAAAGCAGAGGGAGCAAGGAAACAGAAAAGGAAAAACAAAGCTGTTATTGCCCTCATTTCGTGTGATGAATCTCTTCCTTGCCTCTCCTGTGAATGTTACTAGTAAGGTTTGATGTTGAAGTTTTAAATGCTCGTAAACCATATTTATATGAAATTTTAGGGTCAAGAAAATGGCAAAGAGAATGCTTCAAATTCAATTAGATGACGTGCACAGAGTGAAGGTCGAAAACATTGACATTTGACGGGTTAGAGGAATATATATTAGGTAGTACCTGTGCACTAATAATGTTTCATTGACAAGAGAATGATTCCCCACGTCAATGATTTGATTATGGCCAACATGAAATACATTTTGAACAACTTGCGTTCAATACATTTTCTCGATTTCAAAATGGTACCATTTCTGAGAAGTGCATATTGTTTTAATGCTGACTCTTTGATAAATGCAATTGTTTTTGTGATTTACATTTTCTAAGAAGAAGCTGCAAAAGTCAAAATATACAAAACCTGCAAGTATTGTTTCTTGTTGTATAGGAAACCATAAACAAGATATTAGTACATATGTTTTTTTAATGGAAGTACTAATTTGAAGAAATTATTATGCATCAAAATTAAAGTTTTACACTGTTACACAAGGTATATCATAGATATATAGAATGATCAATTCATTTTTTTCCCTGTGTATGAACGTTAACGGTTTGCTTATGATTACTAGTAACAACCGTATCTATGAACATTGAAATCAAAACGCGCATCGCAAGTGTTGTTGGCTCTTCGCCCAAACAAAGCTTCTCTCCCAAATATAGAAAGCTTGATGGATTAAGTAAAATCTCCAACATTATAGCGTAAAAATAACCATTCTGATTGCTGCTGACCAAAAAAATCCTCTCAGACAATCACATAAATAAACAAAACCATAGAACTGTTCTTATTTGACAGTGACCAGAAACGTCGTGTAAAATATGTCTTTGATTCTGAAAGAGAAAAATAAAGAAGAACGAGGCAAAACCTAGATTTACATTACACATTTCAACTACATTGGCTCTCTAGAACTTGTTCTTTCCCTCTCTATTATAAATGAGCCTTTCTTCTAGTCACAGAAATTAATCTGCCAATGAATTACAACCTCATAAAACACAGGAGAGGATTCAAAGATTATAGCTGCCGTAGCCACCAACATCAGAAGCTGGTCTATATTCCGTACTATATGTTTGTCCAGCCAGTGACGGCGTATAAGTCGAAGGACCTGCCAGCTGAGAGTATGCTGTTGGTCTGTACTGCGCCTGCTCTGTGCTCAGGTAGCTACTGGAGAGTGGCTCTTGACGGTTGCTCAGCTGAGGAGGATATGCAGGTACGTAGGCAGCATCGATTCTGCCATATCCCCCTGAAACCGAAGCTGGTTCTTTGTGATTGCTGATGAACTCCTGCATGCACGTAAACCACAAATACAGTTTTATGGCTAGGAAAGTGGGGAGGCAGTAGCATGTGAAGGAAGCGTCAGTTTAGTATAATTACAATGCCAGTTAAAACAAAGTATACATAGATGGAACTTTTTCTTACTTGAATTAGTTGCTCAGCAGTTTGTACTTGAGAGGATGTGCCTTTGATTTCCACTGTGATTTGATCAGGATGTGGACTCTCTTGTATGGTTATGGTAGCTCCACTTCTTCGACGGATGAAGGCTATATTAGCACCTTCTACACCAATTATATCCTCCGCAAAGGAGAATGGTATTTGCATCGTTTGAGATACCTAGTAAGAGAACCCATCATAGAAATGTCATTACTAGTTCTGAGACATAAGCGTACATGTGATAAGATCAAAACCACTGGTAGAAGATTAATCATAACAAGCAAGATTGGTGATATTATTAAACATTTTGTGGAGATATTGGATAATGGAATCTACCTGTGTGACAAAAGCAGCAGAAACCCGAGCAAGACCCGGAGACTGTCTGGCGGACAATACAGAATCCTGACTATAGATAGAAACTCCCGAAGGCTGAACACGTGACTCCATCCGAGAATCGCGCTCCAGGAACGAAGGTTCCCTCCGTGCTAAGAGGGAGAAATCAGGCTCGATTACATTTGACGAAATAGTATGCAGAGATGACTTGTTGTCAGCTAACGATTCTTCCTGACGAGTTTGTGAGACTCTAGCTAGATACTTAAGATAAAAAAAAAAAAAAAGGACAAAAGTTAGATGATTCAGAAAGAAAATGAGAGAAAGGTAGGAACCAATCGTTTCAGATAGCCAAACTTACTTGCTTTTCGAAGAGAGGAACCACAGTATGGTCAACTAGAAATTTCCTTAGGTGTCCAACAATGCTTTCTAATGCTTTAAGGATTTTTAAAGCTTCACCCTGCAAATCAACTATCCTCTCATCTTGCGCAGCATAAAACGGTGTTTCCTCTGGCAGAAAGAAAGTACAGAATACACATTATTATCGAGTAGGCTCATATGAACTGTACAACATACAATTTCAGAAATAGGAAACAGGCATAGCACAATTTATAAAAGATGACAGACATGAATTGAAGAAGAACTAACTAAACTTTTGAATAGACAAGAAAGAGATCCTACTGACTAAAATTGAAAATGCAGGTGAAAATACCTTCTGATAAAATGCGAACTGATGCACCAGAGTTCTCTACAATGGATTTAATCATAGAACCTTGTTTTCCAATTAAATTAATCGCCTGAGTAGATGCAACTAATAAACGCACAGAACAGAAGGCACTTCCAGCGTTTTGAACATCATCATCATTATCTGGCAATCCTGCAACTCGTCTAAACACCCTCAGGACTCCATCCATTGCAGGGGACATGTAGGCCTCTGGCTCTTCCTTACCAGATATTAACACCTAAGCATAACATTACGTTAAAGACCAAGAAATTTAACCTATTTGTGAACACTTGAAAACTACAATTAATACCAAAAAAGGTAAATAAAGTGCAAGTCTCAATTTCTCTAACTTCACCACAAAATCCACTACCTTTGAGCTAAATTTAACCACTTTCCCACAGAAAATTCATCACAAGAACCAAATAATATTTACTACTAATGATTAGGAAACCCTAGAGATAGAATTAGAAAATCCCCAAATTCGAATAGCTTTGAAGACCCTAGAAAGAGAGGAAGATACTCACGATGCGATCGGGAGTGTTAACAGGACCATCAAGGACTTTGATACGAGCACGAGTCTCCTCACACATCTTCTTAATAAAGTCTCCTTTGCGGCCAATAATAGCTCCGACCTTAGTCACCGGAACGATCATACGAAACACACAATCTCCAGGCCAGCCTGGCCATCTCTCCTCCGTGGAATCGTTCGTATCGGGAGCAGTAATCTCAGAAACAGCTAAGCTATCTGGCTGGTCCAATTCAGGAAAGCCGCCGGGGTTTTCTTCAAGCAATACGGTGTCACTGATTCCTACCGGCATAAGGTTTTCATTCTCCGGAAGGTTAATAGTACCATTTTTCTCAACGGAATCTTCGACGGCGGCCATTACAACCGGCGACAAAAAAAAAAAAAAAAGATACGAGACAGAGAGATTGAGAGAGAGATTTAACCTCTGGCTATAGGAATCAGCGCTGTCATATTATACGACACCGTTACAGTTCAATGGGTTTGGGCTTTCGGTTAATAGTTTCACTTTTGACCTTTCTGAAGCCCATGAGCTATTATTATATTTAAGACCTAAATACGTATATGTTTTGTACTTTCAAGCTTAAATATGTGTTTTGTACTTTGAGCAAGTACAAAACATGTCTTTAACAGCGTGCAAGTTACATGTCTTTTTTATTAAAAAAAGGGTATCTTAAGAGATTTGTTCCATCGCATGTTTCATTAATGAATAGCCGAAACTAAAACAAAAAATGTACATATCGTAGGTTCCGTCTTATCAAAGATGTACTCACTGAGTCACTGGCTAGGTTGCAAAGATTTTGATAATATATTATCCAAATATCTACTGCTTAATTAGTGTCCTACCATTGTGAATCGAGTCTTTTCAAATCTGAACTTCCACACCAACGAACCTCACCTACTGTATCCAAATTATATATGCAAAGATTGTTAATTAGCTCCACAACTTGGTTATATTTACAGTCTCATCTTTAAATTGGATTTTCTAATATCCTTATTCCTTCACTTCAGCCCATTATCAACTTTGCACCTTCGAATAAAAACCTTCCAAATTAACGTTTTTTTTTGTTTTTACCGTAAATTTGGAAGACTAATTTTTCTTGTCATCATATGCAATATGCTATGGGGAAGAAAGGGACGTAACATGAAAAATATCTGCTGTCCCGAATATACTTTATCTCTCTGCGAGTCACTTTTGTATTCTCACTAGGTTCATATAGGCTTTCTTGATAAGGTGATATATAAAAAAAAGAAAAAAGCTTTTCTTGATTAAAAAAAAAAAAAAAAGTTTTGGTCAGAAACCATTGTAATTCGTATATTTTCAAAATTTTAGATCTTTTTGGTCATGCCTTTCTTAACTCATCAGAAACAAAAATGAGTCCCCATGCTGAATCAAAATTGGGAAATTGTCGACAAAAAATAAATAAAAATAAATAAAAATTGGGAAATTTAGGGCAAAACACACACATATGGACGTCTGTGTCTTTGTATATACGGTAACGCATGGTCCCCTCTCCTTACACGTATGTAACAGAGAAGAGAGTTCACTTGTAGTTTGTAACTATTTGGGTCAATCTTGCACAGTGCCCTAATCGACTCTCAAAGGTCACATGCTTAACTTCATACTAATTCATTTTTCACATTGAATTAATTATCCAGTTACTATACATGTAATTTTATTTTTATGGTTACTTTCTAAGTTCTAGCAATTTCTTACATATTTAGCAGCACTTTTTTAATCTCTAACTAATTACTATATATTGTCCATGAATCTGTCTATTCAACAACTATGAAAGATAGCATCTACTGATCTACCGTGACTTACGTCAAAAAACAAAAAAGGTAACATCAATCTTATACCGGCCGTCAATAAGCATTAAACCTCATAAATACTCTCTTTATCCAAAGTTAAATAACATAGACACAACACATGTTGCATGGAAAACAAAAATCTTCAATTTACATATCTACCACCAATTAGATTGATGCTCCTTAAATAAATTTAATGACGATGTGCTTTACCATTCTAGCTAGAAAGACATTTGTGAATGGCTACTCCTTGTGAAAATCTAAGTTTAAAACCTAAAAGATTCAAATCTTTTAAAACATTATGCTTAAAAAGGAGAAAAGCTGAGGACAAGAAAGAAGAAGAAGACAGGTCACATGTTGTCATAAGAAAAAGAAGAGTAATAACGTAAGAAGATTCCAAAATAAGAAAATTTAACTGGGATGGACTTTGGAGACGGTGGGCAGAGTTTGCAGACAGCTTTATCCTCTCTTTTCTCTATAGATTGGATAAATCTCATATTTCCTCCTTACCAAGTTATGTTTTCCTCGTATATACACACACACATATTCATTGACTGATGCCAAATACAATCCAAAATATATCAACTCAAGTTCAAAAAAATTCTCATTACTACGTCTTGTCTTGTTAAATACACAAGAAAATGACTGATGGGACTATAATCTTAGTATGTGACAAAGACAAAACTTTGAGTATATATATACGGATCAATAGACAGGAGATGTACCGTGAGAAAACACTGTTCAATTGCAGTACGTAACATTCTAGACTCGTATATATATGTATGACACAAACAATCGAAATAATCTAAAAACTGTAGAGAATATCTAATGACGCAAACGTATGATTGCCATCTGCCACACATATCAGTTCCGAATGATAAAAAAATGGGTCCAATCGTTTCTCACAACCCAATGCCCACGCGGCTCTCTTTCTCTTACACATTTTCATTTTTATACAATCGGAAAAGATAGGTGTTACTTCAAACCAGCAGTCAATACTATAATATGTCTTGTTTTAGTGGTTTGAGGTTTTAGTCCAATCGTTGGTGGTTCTTTACTTCTTAGGGATCTCTGACACTAAACCTTTTATTCGGAACCAGTTTATCCGTATTTCATATGGGATACATGGTGCTTTCATATAAAATCAAGAAAAAATCTTATTTATTCTCCCCACATGTAACTTGTTAAACTATTTTCTGATTGCAAAATACGTTAAGGGGATATATATTTTAATTTACATTAGCCATATTTTACATTTCAATGCCAAGTTGAAGTTTCCTAGCAAGTGTAAAAGAAAAACACCACGTCGACACAGAAATCGAACACAAGCAATGGGATGTAGCCACGTACACGGATAAGGTGGCCTGTTAAGTTTTGTACATACGGACAATATATAGACGAAAAGTATTTACAGCTGGTCGGTTACAATGTTTTCGAAATTTAGAAATTTCCAAAATCTCATGATGATTTTTAACTTAATTATTTTCCCTATGGAAACGTCCGAGAACAAAAATTATCCTAACTTATCTGTGCAATTAAGTTACGTATATAAACATGATTCTTCTTTCTTTTTTTTTGCTAAACATATAAACATGATTCTCAATAAGAAAAATACTCCAAACACATGCAGTCAAAATTTTACCTTGTTACATTTTAAAATGATTCGGATACAATATACAACTCTTAATATGTTATAAATAGCTAGTGAACTGGTCATCAATCTACTAAATTCATTCGTCTAAAACGTTACAAAAACAATATAAAACTTTTTTGAATTTGTTTTCTTTCAAAAGTTCACAAGTACTTAAAGCCATTTCACCTAGTGCCGCTACTCCCTCTTCACTTTTTTTTTTCACTTTCTTACCTCTCTGTTTTCGCATCAACAAAAGTGATATGATGATATATCAAAAATTAATCAAGAGAGAGTCTCACTTCATTTTGACTATATATAAGTTCGACAAACCCTAACGGGTCTATTCTCTTTTTTTCTTACACCATCTTGTGACTCTCCCAATCCAATTGCTGCCCCTTATCTCTCTTCGGGGGAACTAGTACATCCATCACCCATGACCTCTCTCTGTGTCTCTCATTAAATCTTCCTTGTTTTTTTTTTCTTTTTTGTAGCTAGGCTTTCCTTTTTCATTTTATAGTAGACATCATTACTCCTATTTTATTTGACCTTTTTGCTATATTTAGTATACAAGATTTTGTCAGAAGGTTTAGGGTTTAACAGTATAGACTTCGTACGATACTCTGAAACGTTTCTGAATTTTAAATTATACTTAATTCTTTATAAACGGTTTTGGTTTTTTTTTCTTCTTTTCGAGATTTCATTTCCTGATTTCCCCGGAAAATTATTCTTGGATTCTTGCAAGAACTAGAAATGTCGTCTTGTCTAAGCGGCGGTGGTGCCTATATGGTGAAATCGCCACCGTCACACAACACTCCTTCGCCGTCATCTACAATCACCGAGTCAAACTCTCCTCCGTTCTTGATATCCACGAGAAGGCCACGAACTCCACGGAAACGTCCGAACCAAACATACGACGAAGCTGCGGCTCTGCTCTCCACCGCCTACCCAAACATCTTCTCTTCCAAGAAACCAAAAACTCAGACTTTCAATAAATCTCCTCTCAGTGGTTACGACGAAGCTTCTCAGTTGCTTCTCCCGTACGAATCCATCGAAGAGTCCGAGTTTCTGTTCAGTCCCACGATTCCAACGAAAGCAGAGCACTTCTTGGAGCATAAAGATGTCATTTTAGATGAGCTGGATGTGAATGGGTTTGGAACTAGTTTAGATGACTTCGACGCGGGATCGATTCTTGATGAGGAGATTGAAGAAGGGATCGATAGCTTTATGGGGAGTATTGAATCCGACCAGGGAGAGAATTGCTACAGAATAAGTCGATTAGAGGAAGTGATGAAGAATGCTTGGAACGGAAGGTTTCGACTAGGACTCGGACTGAGGAGTTCTCTCAGGGAACACGACGACGGGAACTGGTGCCAATTCCCCACTGTGGAGTTCGAACAAATATCGCCGAGAATTCAGACAGCCATAAACGCCGTAGCTGGTGACGGGAAACACAATGTGGTGGAGAGTAAGACGACGGTCTCGGCGGAGGGATACAAGAAAAAGAACAAGAACAAGAACAAAAACAAGAACAAGAAAGTGACTCCGGCTGCGGCGGCGGTGGAATCAAAGAGCTCCGAAGATCCGTTGCCAGAATTAGAGCAGAGAGTGATGAGTCCGTTGTTGAAGCTCGACTACGGTGGGGTTCTAGAGGCTTGGTCGGGTAAGGAGTCGCCGTTCTCCGACGAGATTATGGGTTCGGACGCCGCAGGAATCGACCTATATGTACGTTACTCTGTTCTCTAATCTCTCTTTCCCCCGTGGCTTAAATCACAAACATTTCAAATTTAGATTAGTCTATCTTAATTTTCGTAAGCCGCCGTTACGGATTATTATGGAACCTCCTAAATCCTCTTAAATTATGCCACATGGCACTCGAATTTGCATCTAAAACGAGTGTTGTCTTTTAAACTTTTTTGTTTATAAATTTTTGGATAACCAATCGTTTTAATTACCAATATCTGAATTGTTCTTTATTTTATTTAAATCCTTTATTTTGTTTCAAAAAATCTTATCAAATTTTGAATTTAATTACCAATATCTGAATTTTTTTTGAATTTAAAGTTTGTAGTAGATAGTAAGTTAATCTATTGAGTGAGTAAAACTGATGTAAAAAGAATGATGTGTTTGGGGACAGACGCGATTGGGTGAGATAGATTTGTTCGGAGAAAGTGGAATGAGGGAAGCAAGTGTGTTAAGGTATAAAGAGAAGAGGAGGAATCGACTCTTCTCCAAGAAAATCCGATATCAAGTTCGCAAACTCAACGCCGATCAACGTCCCCGTATGAAGGTATATATATCTACACTTCTGTCTTCAAATGTAAAAACCGGAACTTACATGTCAACTTATTGATACATTTGATTTGAGCTAAGGATTTAGGTGAAAGATTGTCATTATAATAATGGTGGTTTGTTTATCTGACAGGGACGATTTGTGACAAGGCCCAACGCAAGGAATTTAAGCGGCATACGAGTTTAAGAATAAGAGCTTTAAGAACTTGAACTCTTTTATTCTCTTATTTTTTTTTCTTTTTTGAATTCATGTTTAGTTGCTTTGTTTTTGCGAATTCGCCCTCCCCATTTTTTGTTCTTTGTTTAATTAGCTTGCCCCTCTTGTTATTTTTTGTCATAAGGGAATGGGGATGAAATTAGTTTATTCGAGACAGTAAAGAATGAGAATTAAGAATACAGTACAACTTTATTTTGTGTCTTTTTGGTATAAATTACGTGATGAGATTAAGAATTCATATGCACTCAGCACACTATTAACTTCATGATGTGATGATTTATATGTTGTAGATGATTTTGAATTGGATACAAACGTTGCTATGCACAACAATGTAAAATTTATTTCAATATATCATTTTTTAATATACAGAAGCGTCTATTCAACTCTCACTTTACAATTTGTTTTTCATCCTCTTTATATATGCTTATCTTTTTCTTTTCATTTTTCATTTTTTTTTGTCTCGCATTTGATATAATGCACCATCCATTAATATTCTCTGTAATAAGGCATTTTGCCTATTCATATTTTGGAGTCAAAGATCAAAAGATTTTCAACAGTTTCACTTTCATTGCATATTCTCTCAATTGAAGGCAGAGCAAACCCGTCGAATCTCCCCTTTAGAACCAGTCTTCACACCAATCTTCCCCATCTTCACTATTGCCTTTACGAAATCGGACTCGAACGTTGGACCAAAGAACGGATTTAGCATCCCAAGATAGGAATCCACAACCCGTCGGGTCGTCACATCCTCGTAAAGACCAGCATCGGTCTGAAGCACAGCGAAACCATCCTTTATGTTTTGTAGAATCTGCTTGTCGAATACACGTTCACTGATCCGGTCCATTGGTAACCGGACGTTTATGTCACCATTTTGTGGGCACTGAGTGGTTAACTCGGGTAGGAATACCGGATTGATGGTCGGGTCAGGTTGGCCACCGGGTAAGAAGTTGTAGAGGCGTTTGGTCATGAAGAAGCAGGCTGTTGTTCCGATAGTGTGAGCAGCTGATGATACGGTTGAAATAACATTAGAACGAAGAGAAGTGTTTCTACACTTTCCTTCTATTTTTTTTTTCTTGTTCTGTTTTTCTTTCATGTTGAGATATTGAAATGACACAATCCGAGTCCAGTTTCAAAGGCATGATCACTAGTTACTCGTGCTCTTCTGTTCTTGGTCACACGTGCACGTTGATGACTTAACCCTAATATCTACTCTATCGAATGACAAAAACAAGAATGGCCCGATAGATATTTATGTGTTTTGTCCAATTAAAACTAACCGCCGATTCTATAACACCCATATTTTCGTGTGAATGATGACATTTCTGAGCCATGCCCGATTTAGTGGATTAGATGACAGAAAATCAAAACACATCTTACTAATAGAACACACTCAATTTTATAGTTGAAATTTAAATAAAATACAAACTCATGCAAAAATGCCTAACGTAAGTTGACAAAAGGCCTATATTTTTTTTTCAACAAACGACTTTTCATTTTGCAATAATCTTAGCAAAAACATAAAAAAAACACTGGACATATTTTTTTGTTATTAATATATTTTCACGAATTTCTTATCCAAATTTATGAGGAACTTTTTTTTCTGAGGAAGAAAATTGGCTTAGGCTTTTTTCTTTTTATTTTTATTTTATTGGTCAACCAGAATTTCGTAAAGGACGGAAGCACGTGACACTAACACACGAAGGGAAAGAGGAAACGGACGAAACATGGGAAACACATCACGGATTCGGGAAACGAAAAATCATATAACTTGAACTTCGAACCAAAAACCTCGAGAGATTTGAAACCACCAAACAAACATGAATGAGAGAGAAAGACCAAGAAGAAGCGATACATACCACTGAGAAGCACGAGCTCTTTGGCGTTGAGCCCCTTCTGCATGAACTTAGCCTTTAGTATCTGAATCGTGTCGCTGATCTCAGGCATGTCCTTAGCCAGCGACATATTCGAAACCAGACCATCTCTCCGCCCAGTTGGTACCTCATACGCTGGTCCATTTGCCTGTATCATGAATTGATCACCACAGGGAAGAAGAAAGACAAAAGATCAATAGATTCAATTTTTTCTTTCTCTAATTGATTTTTTACCAAAGATATGGCATCACGTGCCGCCAAGGCAACAATGTCTGAGCAGGAGACAACACCGGGGCATGCAGCTTCAAGCTCGGCTTTAATGGCTTCTACTATCTCAAATCCTCTAACGCCTTCGTGCCCAAAGGCATTCTTTTCAGAGATTGCTCCGTTATCCACGAGGATCGAGCCATCACATCCCTGTACGTGCTTAAATCTATAAGCATTGCAATAATAGTAGAAAGCACAAAGAGGAGGAAAGTGCATTGTACCTCAACAAAGCAGTCGTGGAAATGGAGACGTAGAAGTATGGCTGGGAGGTTAGGGTCAGAAAGAGCAGCTCCTGAGACAACTCTCCTAACGATTGACTCGGCTTGAGGACATGTATTGGAGTAAAACCCGACTTTTAGATCAGCAAGAGAGACGCTGAGGATTACCGTAACCAGAGACAAAGCTAGACTCATCTTAGCCTTTGTCCATGCCATTTGTGCTTTATTATGTTCAACTCAACAGAGAAAGAGAGGGATAGGGAGGGAGAGAGAGGTAATAAAGAAAGAGAGAGAGTTTTACAGAAAGTCTCATTCTTACAATAGCTATAAAGAAAGACATGTGTTTAACCCTATTTGCATGTAAAATTGTCACCTAGCAAAAAAACTTAACAAAAACCCAAACACAATAAATATTGACAAGTATCACTGCCCCGGACATACTGGTTTTATATACACGGAGCAAAGTCATTGTGAATACTGAATAAAACAGTGAGGAATCGAGTTCTTGATGGATAGAGAAAACTAATAAAATCAAACCAAACCATAGCAAATTATTCGTCGTTTCATATAAACTCACATACTTTGAAGTAGTTCAGGGTTCAAGAACACAGTTTTCCAGCTTTGGAAAGGAGACACCCAGTTGCATCCCGACAGTAACTAATGTCTCCAAGGACCTAGCACTGTTAGCTAAGAGATCCTCATCAATCTTAATTGAGTCCTGCAAATTGTCATGTGAAAGGTAAGGTTGATGCAGGTTCAAGCACCCATCCAGGGAAGTTACTATGAAAATGTATGATATATTGTCAAAAGATTTTCAAATCAATAAACAAGGTGTTTCCAGGGTAGTGGAAGCATATTATTCAAATTTTCAGCTATGAGAGCTATGAAAAGATTAAGTATAAAGTATTAAAATAGTGGTAAGAGTTTTGAGATTCTTTTTTATATTCAGCATTCAGAAAACAAAGTTAGAGCCTAACCTTTTCAAAGACGCATATAACTGTGCTTCCACCAAATGAAAAGTAACCAAGCTGGAAAAAGGAATATGTTAAATTTGAGGCCGCTTGTATAAGAAACTATTACCCATTTTTCAATTATAAAAAAAAAGGTTCAGAATTGCTTACTTCGTCCCCTTTCTTCACATGGTCTCCCTCTTTTCTAACAAAAGTGATGCTACCAACCATTGTTGCTCCAATCGCAACAAATGCCACCTGTTACAGACAATAGGCTGAAGTCAAGTTCTGTGGTAAGATCAGATTTCATTATACAGGCTCATTTATAAATTACAGCATCACTGAGTTCAGCGCATCAAGCGAAGATTGAGATATAGTTTGTTTCAGCAGATATTAAAAAATGGTTAATAACTTATACGAGATAACACACCTTTCCAAACTCTGCTGTTGAAATAATTACAATGGTCCGCTTATTCTCAGTGAACACATTACAGTACTTGCTATTGACTGCAATCGGATTAACCTGAGAAACAAGGTAGATAACCAGGATGCAAAAGTAAATCCAATAAGAGAATACGCAAGAGAGAATGAAACTCTTCAACTTAAAAAGGGAAATGGATAAGTACATACTGTATACAAGCTTCCAGAAACATCAACAAACTTTTCAATGACACCAGAGACAGGAGAATGAAAACGATGATAGTCCTGTAACAAATCAATAAATCGATAAAGAGAGTAAATAACAACTGCAAGTTTTTCTGCTTTTGGTCGAAAGACATGAAGCATGCAGTCTTGTCGTACCTGTGGAGCCAATCGGAATATCACCAAAGATCCATCAAGGAAACCATCCGAGTGCACATCCTTCCCAAGGAGGCCTTTAATTGAGAACTTCCGGCCCTGACAATATTGAAATCCGTTGAAGATTTTAGAATAGTTAGTAACATTTAGGCGATGTTGTAAGTTATAAGCTGCAACATTTATCCTAAGATTTATTAATTTTTCTAGATGCCATACCTAGCTTGCAGAATTATCATATTATAGCTACTCTAGAGAAGGTTTACCTTGATCCAGAACCGCATGCTATCATCCACTGATTGAAACGCCATTAATCGACAATCTGCAGCAGATACAGCAACATCATCCTGATCCATGCAAGCAATTGGTCTTGCACCAGGCTTTAACTCCCGTATGAAGAATTCATTGAATGTCTGCAAGTGAAATGACCATCTTTGAAATCCATCAAAAGTACGCAAGCTTTACAGTTAATCAAATGATCATGGGCTTTTACCGTGCTAGATAAAAACTGCAAAGGATTTGGCTTAGATATACATCATTATAACTTCCATATTTATTTTATACCTAGTCGCAAAAGCTAATATGTTTATTTTGTAGAAAGGCATACTGTGAATTTTATTGAGTCACATCTCAAGTTCAAGAATTAGCAACATTTTATTGTAATATCATAGTCAGAATTATACGCAGAGTTGTTTTTGCATACCTTAAATTGGTCTAGAGGATACTTGACTTCAGCCATGTTTATTTGATCCTGCAACAAACAAATGATTAAACTTTTGGCCTTCATTTAAACATACAAAAGGAGATCTAGTGAATCAATTCCAACGTATCCATTGCTATAAATAAAGCATAGGAGAGGACTTGATCTCTGTCAGAGGATTTCACATGCTGTCTCAATCCCCAAAAATAATATCAGATTTCTGTTTAATATTCATCCAAGTTTTTCTAAGATATGCTGTGCTATATAGATCTATATCAATTTCACATTTCAAACAAGTATTGTTAAACTCCAAGCCACAAGCCAAGTTGTCAGGCTTAAATTCAACAGCCATTTAACACATAATAACTTGACATATATATATATTTCACACCTTGAAAAACT